ACAACTGGCTAGCGCTGACCTGGCGTGCCCATAATGGATTAGGTATTCTCGAGCTACCTATCCAATAACTGAACTCACTGGCCGAGGAAGGGGTCGCTACCCTTCCTCCACTATGGACGCGCCCCGCTCCAGTCGGATGGGCTCTTCCCCCTGGATCGTTCGAGGACACTATCTGAAAGAACGACCTCGACTAACCTGTTTACACACTTCTCTCCTCGGCAAAGAGGACCTCGGAATAAAATTGGGATAGAACCTTGCAAGGTTATGAAGGCAAGACCTCGAAAGGGACCTATCCCCACTGAAGCACGGGAATCTGAAGACATGTGGATAGGTGGCTGAGATCCAAGGGGTCGCCTCAGCCCGAGGCCAACACAAGGAGGAAAGGATACTTGGTACCTAAGCTCGAGCAATGAAGGATAAGAAACACATTAATTGTGAAAGACGTTTGATAAGACCCATATTAATTAAGGAGCGCCATTACCTCCTTTAACCGGGGGGCAAAGCGCCGCAACCCATCCATCAATGTCTCATCCGTCAGAAGAAGAGACCATCAAACCTTTGGATAAGAGCGGACTCAGCTAAAGGACCAAAAGACATTGACTGAAGAGGTAAACATTATAAATAGGGGTGTTAATCAGCCTTAAAAGCACACAACTACCACATTAACAGCTAATCCCTGACAAGCTCGAGCTCACGCGGTACCAAAGTCGGCCTTCCCTTTCTTAATCTCTGAACTTAGAGAATCCCTTGTGTTACTTGGATCTCCACTTAGATACTGATTTCAGCATTCTTGGCCTACGTGGAACGGTCTCCTCATCCTATTCACGAACTACCATCAACAGCTTTTAACTACAAACATCACATGTTATTGTTGTTATTAGTAATAGAATTAATATTTTTTGGTGCTCGACTTTGTTAATGTAGGCACACATACTTATTCCTTTATAACTGAAATCACACAAAATTCTTCCTTGATAACTGAAATCTCACAAACTTCTCATTTTCTAGTTTCAAATATTGCTGACTTTGTTAATGTAGGCACACAAACTTCTTCCTTTATAACTGAATCACTCTTAGACCAATGACAGATTTTTTTAGTCATCGACTTTTTGCAGCAATGCTCTTCTCATTTTAACTATTAGCTTAGCCCAACATTTCTACTTCTCAATCTCAACTACCACCTTTAATATTAAACCCACAGTTTCATGAAATGGTGAATGTTGGAAAAAAAAAAAAATGTAAAAAAAATTAAAAGTTCATTAACCTGTACAAAGAGGTTGGCATATCAAAAGACACAATTCCATCTGGCTTTTTGTGCTATACAACAACATTTTGGAAATTTGGACATAACAAGATCCATTGATGAACAACTCATAGTTATTACTGTGAAAATTTGCAAGGAAGAAGTTGTGGAAGGATTATGCATATCATTATTTTTGGAATAGGATTTGAATGGCTTCAATATAGTTTTCATTGGGGATTATGTGAATGTCTGTTGGGCTTATATGGTATGCAAGATGTAATAGACATTGCTTCAGGACTCGAAAACTCGAAATCTCGAAATCTCATTCCTTTCTTGAGAAATAATACATGGCACACATGTTCACAACATTGTTTCTTGGTTTGTGACTCTTGAAAAATAATATATGGCATAAATGATACTCTTTCTTTTTCTGTTTCTCTATGTCTTAGCACTAATACCATATATATATATAGATATATATAACTTGGATATCAAGCTAGTTAATTAATACTCTAGATTGCTAATGAGTTTCTTGAATAATAAGCTAATTAATACTCTTAGATTGCTAATGATTAGTTTATTAGATACCAAACTAGCTAATTAATACAACATATATACATAGATGATGAACCGCCTCAAGCTCCCAACGTCTATCCACTTAGCTCCAAAATCTGGCATCCCAAACTATTCCTGACAGCTAGTTAATTAATACTCTAGTTTGTTAATAAGTTTCTTGAATAATAAGCTAATTAATACTCTTAGATTGCTAATAATTAGTTTATTGGATACCAAACTAGCTAATTAATACAATATATATACACACATGATGAACCGTAGCTCCCAACGTCTATCCACTTAGCTCCAAAATCTGACATCCCAAACTATCCCCGACAGCTAGCAGTGTGTGTAGAGAATAGAGATGGAATTCCGTGATGTTCACTTGTATTTTAAACATGTGTGGAAAAGATTTCTTCAGTGTAACATCCCCCACTTTGCTTATCATCGTTCCAATCTATTATACTCCACTTTGCTTATCATCATTCAGCCCTAGCCTCTTTATCAATGTTGTATTATTGACCAGAATTAATATGCTACCGTTTCAACACTATTAATTGCCTCCTCCGTCCTTCCTCCTTCCTGTCAATTATGATCAAGTGCTTCTTTTATAATAAATTTTTTGATAAAATGCACCAGCTGTTCTAATCCATACCACTAATTATGGTGATTAGTAGTGCAGAATTCATCATGGATGAGAATTAATATTTTATATGATGCCAAGAATTAATACTTTTGGTTTATCAGTATTTTAAGTCTCTTGAGCTAGCTTTTAATTACAAATTAATATCAAATATTATTGTTGTTATTAGTAATAGAATTAATATTTTATATGATGCCAAGGATTTGGAGGGGATGCAAGAGAGCCGTGTATATTATATATCTGACCCATTGAGACATGTATATATTAATTAAATTGATAAATATTTATTAGAAAATTGGAGCCCCACTTAATTTATGTAATAAAACAAGATTTGGCAAAATGTTAATTTATGAATCTTTTCTCAACCAACAAAATTACAATAAATTGAAACGAATCCGTAATAAATTATTGTGTGACATGAATCTCAAAATAAATTAAAATTTCATAATGAGCACACTATTAACTATACCCTCGATAGACACTGATCGAATTGCATTAAGCTGATAGTTACACTAACAAACATATATATAGATAAAAAATGTATTTATTGCTCACTGGTTCATATATATTATGCTTCACTTTTTTAATTTAGTTAATAAGCAAAAATAGTTTAAACATTTAATTAGGTAGCAAACATTCTATTGAACTAGAAATAAACTAAACCATTCATTAGGCTCAATTTTGATATGTGAACTTTTTTAATAAAGTAGCCAATTATACATGAATATGAAACAATAAAGGAGCCGATTATACATGAATATGAAACGAACTTTACCACGCACAACTTTGTTATTGGATTTTATTTTTAAAGATTTCATACCAATTAGAATATGCAGATCCTATATATAAAACACTTTCTTTTTTCACACTTAAGCATACAATAGTTTGTCAGTATCTCTTTCACCCACCCACAAGATTGTCACAATCACTCTTTTGGGAGTCAACGTCGGCGTCTCCATTGGACACACTTCCAGCTAAGTCGGGTTCTAATACATTTTGTAATGACCCACTCCACCACATGGTATGATACTGTCCGCTTTACTGCTTTAGACTCGAGTTTGTACGATTTTGTTCTTAAATTTTATTTCAAAATGTCCCATACTAATTGAAGTGTACGAATACTACATATATATATATATATATATATATATATATATATATATATATATAACGCCTTCCCAACTGGGTCATGCATAATTTATCACTTTGTTGTATCCTCGTGTCATGTTTGGATCCGCAAATAAGGCCCAACCACCCAAGCACAGCAGCCTAAGTGCAGTTTGGATCTGTATTCAACCCTTCTTAGTCCTTTTTGCTCGACAATGAAAAGAAAGTAAGTGTGTGTTTTTGCAATATGGTAAAAAACGGTAGTTCACAGCAAAGGTCAAAACTTTTTCATTTATTTCACTTCAAATTTTAAAATTGTTAATTCTTTTGTTACCTTTCACCGAACAAAATAAAAGTGATAATAACATCATATTTTCTACCCTTCTGGTAACTCTTCCATCATCTTCTTTTTCCCTCCTAGCATACCAACATTAGGTTATGTTTGGTATAATTAAAAAAGAAAAAAAATAGGATAAGATTAATTAGGAGAGTTAAAAAAAAATAGGATATCGTTAATTACTTATGGTGGTTGATTAATAAAGGATATGGAAATGATAGAAATCAATATATTTTAGTTTTTATTAAAAACTAGTGTTTCTTTCCATTTCTTTCTATTTTTTGATTACAAATCAAAGCGTCATGTATAATTTGTTTCATTCTGAATCTCTCTATTTCCTATTTTTTTCTTTAAAAATTTATATCAAACACAATATTTCATTTCCCTCCATTACTCCTTTTTTTTTTTTTTGTCCTTTCAATAACTTCCAATAAAACTGAGCCTTATAAAGTCCGACCCTTATTTAAAGTGAGGGAAAATGAAGAAAAGGTAATTGTTTTTGTTAATATGAAATAGCAATAAAATAATGATTTTATACTAATACAATAATTTTAATAAAATACTGTATAATGTTTGGATTGAGAGTATGAACAAGTGTTCGATGTAAGAGTAAATTTTTCATGTCACATTGATAACAAACACGCACACACTTACCGAATCAATGATTAAAAAAAAAAAAAAAAACTTACCCTATTTAGGATGAATTTCACATGACAAATAGTAGAACGACGGGATTGGTTTTGGATATGATTGAAAAGATGTGGTTTCCGTCAAAGAGATGATTTTTTTGGTCAAGGTCAGATTCTTACTGGGTACCGCTGTACTACTAATATGCTTGCAACCAAAAAAGGATGCAGCTTTTTATTTGACAAGTTCTGATTAAGACCAAAGTAGAATTTTAGATAAATCAGGGTATGCCAAAGTTGTAGACTCCTTTTTTTTTTTTTTTGTTTTTTTTAGGCGTTTTGTAGAATTAAAAATTGTACCCGGACCTTTTTGTAAAAATTGAGAAAAGGGAGGGACTTTTGCTGGGATATCAAGAGAGGGCCTTCGCGCCTTTTCAATAAAAAAGCCGACACAAATAGTGTACGTGCAGCGAGTAATTCGCGTCTATTGGTCAGCGCAACTCTCTAGGAATCTGTCCAAACACATTGGTCACATCAAAACACACATTCTCTCTCTACTTAATTTCCCCCCTCTCTCTCTCTATAACTGTACATGCACATATACACACACTCTCTCTCTCTCTCTATATCTCTGTGAGAAAAGGGCTAGAGGAAGACCTCTGTATCTCTGTTGATCGCCATCGGTAATGTACTACAAGCTCTCATTTTGATAATCGTTTTGTGCTTCATTGTCAATAGAAATCTTAAATTTCATAATGGTACACATGCACGAGTGTATATTTTTTTAATGGTTCTACACTCTTTTAAGACTTTGTCTAAAGCCCTCGAAAATATCTAGAACCCTAATATTGTGATTTTGATTTTATGGTTTTTTAGAAGGTCAATTGATGGCCAAAAAGGCTTCAGAATCCATGGATTCAGATGTGGGTTCAGCAGAGGATGTCGTTCAGGCATTTTTGGAATACTTGGTCGATCCTTTGTTACCTTCCAAGTCCTCTGCGCGGGAAAATCCTTCCCTTTCTCAACAACAATTAGTCTCCAAACAGGTACTCATTGATCAGCTTTGTTCAAGCCCCATGTTTAATCGATTGATTTGATGCCTCATTTATGCGATTCCTATGCGTTTTTCTATTTGTTTTTTTAAAAAATTTGATATGTCTTTGATATTCATACCTTCTTAGCACTCAAATAAACAATATACAACTATTTCTTTCATTAATATAGAATTTGAATATAATTTTTTCAGTTACAGTTATAATAAGATAAAAACTTTTTTGGCAATGGGGCTAAAAACTGGAAGCACCTTGGGTAGCTACCCGAGCACTAACATCTAACGTGATAATAAATAACAATACACGAGAGATTTCACACACAATGAGAGGGATCCGGAACGATGATCTGGAGGGAGGAGGAGTAGACAAACAAGAGAGATTAATAATGAAGTTAGGAATGTTTGTATACATGACATAGAGTAAAGGAGTTTTTGGAATTATGGTGGTTTTTGGGTCTTATTTTTTTCCCTTCCACTCCTTAATGCTTAAAAATGTTAGCATTTCAGCTCTAAAAGAATCGGGTGATACCTATTGAGTGCGGATGCTACTGGGTATTACCAAACATTTAAAGTTTAGTCATGATTATCTTAGCTGCCCTCGCGCAAAGCTACCTTGGGAAATCGTTCCTTGTTGTCGGGGCTCGCGGCTATGCATTAATTGTTTTCGGCTATGCATCAAATGGTAGTGATTGGGCATTTAATGCTGGTGGTTGAGCATTAAATTTAGACAACATGATTGTGAGTTCCACTGTCTTGGCACGGGATCAACATCCCTACCAAAGCGTCCACTACCCAAATGTCTGGTCGTATTCACACTTCCAATCCTCCATACCAAAGTCCTTCTCAATATCCCAGAGTACAACTATAAGGGTGTAGTTAGTCCTAACTGTCCCTTTTTCGTCCCAGCTATTTGAATAATCTTGAGGGCAGCCTTGGCTGCATACCTCGAGGTTTTAGTATTCTCGAGAGAGCGTCTCAAGCCTATAGATATGAAGGTTGCTCTTCGAGGTGTTGGGGAACCTGAGAGGGTGTCTTAGGACTTCTGGATCGAGAATTGTTTCTCGAGGTCTTTGAGGGACCTTGGATGCTGTCTCAGAGTTTTGGACTCGAAGGCTCTTCGAGGGTGTCTCTCGGTTTTGGACTCCAGAAATCAAACACTGTGGCCGACCCGCTACAACTTTTTGAACATCCTGATCATTGCTGAAGAAGAGGAATTGGAAATTTTCAGTTGCTGCTAATCAGAAAATTCTGTGTTTACAGTTCAAAATCTTCGACAGAGTGTTTTGTAAGACACGAATTTGGATAGGTTTCTATGAAATGATTTTACCAAAGAGGCCAAGTTTACATTATTGGATTACAGGATCTGTGTATACCTCACTCGTTTCGGGGCTCGCGGCTATGCATTAAATGTTTCCGGCTATGCATCAAATGGTAGTGATTGGGCATTTAATGCTGGTGGTTGAGCATTAAATTTAGACAACATGATTGTGAGTTCCTGTCTCTTGGCACGGGATCACCATCCCTACCAAAGGGTCCAATACCCAAGTGTCTGGTCGTATTCTTACTTCCAATCCTCCATTCCAAAGTCCTTCTCAATATCCCAGAGTACAACTATAAGTGTGTAGTTAGTCCTAATTGCCCCTCTTTCGTCCCAGCTATTTGCCTAATCTTGAGGGCAGCCTTGGCTGCATTCCTCGAGGTTTTAGTATGCTCGAGAGAGCGTCTCAAGCCTTTGGATACGAAGGTTGCTCTTCGAGGTAGTGGGGAACCTGAGAGGGCGTCTTAGGATTTCTGGAGAGAGAATTGTTTCTCGAGGTCTCTGAGGGACCTGAGATGCTGTCTCCGAGTTTTGGACTCGAAGGCTCTTCGAGGTTTTGGGTTACCTTAGAGGGCGTCTCGCGGTTTTGGACTTGAGAATTGTTTCTTGAGGTTTTAGGGGACCTGAGAAGGTGTCTCAGGGTTTTAGACTTGAAAGTTGCTATTCGAGATTTTGGTGGACCTGAGAGTTGTCTCAGGGTTTTAGATTCGTTCTAGAATTGCTTATCGAGGTTTTGGGAGACTTAAAAGGGTGACTTGGGGATTTCTGCTTTTCGAGATTCTAGAGCACTTGAAGGGATGCCTCGGGATATTGGTGATTGTGAACTTCTCCAGGTTTTGGTCGACCTGTGAAGGTATCTAAAGTGCTTTGAACTTGAGATTTGTTCCTTGAGGTCTTTGCCTATTTGACCCTTGCTGATGTGGCCAAAGTTTGTATTTTTCTTGTGGGGTTAGCCATGTAGGCAGCGCACATTTGACACCTTCAGGCAGTGGCTGAGTACCTGTTATGGAGTTAAAATGAAATCAATATGGTCTAGCTATTGGTAGGAATGATTATATGAATTTAGGTTTTAACTTTAACTTGGCATATGTCTTCAAAATTAAACCTTATCCTATGTTGGCTCGTTAAGTTCTCTGATGTAACAGTGGTTCATCTTTATATATTTAGCATCTTGCCTTTTTTGTAGAATACACACCTTATACTTGTCAACTACTCATTAATTTTACAATATATTCTGTAAATCATACATTAGCATTACTATCAATATTTACCAAAATTTCATTTAAAATTTGCATGTTGGTCATTGCCTATTAACATACATCATGCCTTTGGAAGGAATGTGTTATCTCTATAGGTTCTGATATACTGATCTATATATTCATATTGCGTGCTTGTAAACTGTGGTATGTTCTTTTTATTAATTTGTTTTATTCCTTGGAAAAATCACATAGCTCTCAAGATTTAGAGTCACGAGATATGTATATCAAGACCTCTATTACCTTTTTGAAACTTCATCATTTATCTTGTTTTGAGATTGTGTGAATAAGTCCTGATGTTTAAGTTGGTTTTGAATGACCACTGATCACAAAGACTAGATGTTGAGGCCAGTTTGAAAAATGAGTCATGTTGGCCATTAGCATGAGGACTATATACTTACTTACCTGCTATTGTGCATGCATATCTATGTTATGTAGAAAATCATGCTTGCATTTTAATACTAATGTAACAAATTACTTAATTTCTTTGTGTACTTGTTCTTTCCGTGATCTGCTTCAGGTGCATGCCGTTGTGTTACTCTACAACTATTACCAGAGGAGAAAACATGCAGAAGTAGAATTTCTAAATTTCGAGTCATTTTGCAAGTTGGCTGTAACTTTGAGACCGAGTTTGATGTCACACATGAAAATCTTGAACCGTTCTGATTATACTGAGTTGAATGATCTGGAAAATCAGTTTTCACTGACTGAGAAAGCCATTATGGATGCATGTGATCTATCTTTAGTGCTAAATGCATCAAAAGATGTTCCAAGCACTGAGGGATGGCCAATTTCCAAAGTTGCAGTTCTGTTAATTGACTCTAGGAAGGAGAACTGTGTACTGGTATTTAGTTCCATCACTCATGGGGTTTGGTCAGTTATCGAAAAAGATCTTGATGTATCCAATGCCAGTTCAGAAGATGCGGTGGAGGGAAAAAACATAAACAAAAGGAAAAGAATCGCTAGAAAACCTCTGAGAGATGAAGCCAATGCTGGTGAAGCTGGCTTCCAACAGCTTGCATATTCAGCTGTTAAGGAAGCAATGGGTATGCTTTCTTCAATACATTTACTAGATGGTAATGGTTTTAAAATGTGGACACTTTCCTTGATTTACTTCTGAATTTTGTGCCATGAAGTCACGTGCTTAAAGGTTGTTGCTCTTTTCTTTGTTTCTGTTTATTGCATTGCCAACAATTTTTTTTATTATTATTATTATATATAAAGATTCTTTATAAAATAACTACATGTTAAAAACATTGACATAATGTCCAAAAACCCAGTTCATCAAATGCCATTCGTCATTGTTCAAATAGTTTTTTTTGGGCTGTAAACCGTTCCGTGTATCCAGTGGCAGAGTAGGCCCCAAGTCTGAGAAGAGATAGTAGAGCATTCAAATCCCTCCCCAGGCTCTATGAATCTCTTCTCAAATCAGCACATTTTGTAGGTTTCTTTTACTCCAGAGCAGTTGGTATGGTTGTCACCTTCTCACTATTGAGGCTGAGGCTCATGTCTTATTGGATGGCATGGCCTGAGGGAAGCTTCTTCTATAAAATTTAATCACTGAATGATTGAGGATGATTTATGTGTGTGGTGGCAGGATGTGTCAGGTTATGATCTATTGTTTGATGCTATTACAATCACCCTATATGGGAGATTCTAGACTTGTATGATTCTGTAGAAGCTCATAATTATTGGTTCCCTAGTTCGGTCAATGAGAGAGCAGATATACATGTCCGGAGAGAGGCTACTTGGTCTGCTCCTTGTAAGAATCAATTTCATCCTCCTTGAGGTTTAGTCAAAAGGAGGTTGATTTTATAGTTGTTCTGTTCTGTTTTAGTCAAAAGGAGGTTGATTTTGTTTATGGTTTGTTTTGCTATTCTATTAGCTTTATTCTTATTCTTCAAGGGATTCTCACCCTTCTTTATATAATTCTATTTTGGGTTCCTTCAGAGAAAAATAAGTAAATAAAAAGGGAAAGTTTTTATTGACAATATCTGTACCTTTATTAAATTAAATCACAACCGTTTTAAGCTATGAGTATGATGATTATTTGTTCAGACAAGTGGTATGAAATGTTGATATTATTTGTGTCCCCTGTTGTCACCAAAACAGTATGATTCTGTATTATTGGGTCATAAGGTTTTTTTTTCCTAGTTATTATTGGGTCATAAGTTGCTTTATGCTTTATTTCTTGGTAGGTAGTTGTTTTGTAATTTAATGCTTTTGGAGTGGAGGGTGGTATCTAATATTTTAATTTGTTTTATACCTGATTTTGGAGAGAACTAGCTGATACTTGTATATGATGTACTTGGAACAGGCATTAATCAGACTGATCTTATGGTTTTGGAGAGCCATGTTGTATATTCCACAAGCAAAGAGAAGACAGCTTCTCAGTTTTATTTAGTGCAATGCACCAAATCAATCAATGAGGATCTTCAAGTTCCTATTAAAGATGTTATTGATAGGTTGGTTCTGGTCACTATCAAAATTTTCCCTGTATGCACATGATTACTGGTTTCTGGTAGATGCCGTAGTGGTAAAACGTGAAATTAGAGTTTTTATGAGATTAGTCAGTCTTCTGATATATTCCTTTTCTCATGTATTATTATTTTTATTAATTTTCTTTTTTGGGAAAATAACTATCTCGTGGTTCAGATAACTTATTTTGGAGCTTATTTATTATTAGTATATTCATTGTTTTTAATTTTACACGGATCGATTGACTTATGAGCTATCAATGGCGCTGAAGAAAGATAAGCGATGTCAGATGTGATTAAGCCATCCGTTTGAATGTTTTATTTGAATTTTTTTGTTTACCATTGATTGCAATTGGAACCCTTTCATATGGCATAATTAATTGGAAGATGATCTAATATAGTAATTTTACAATTTTAGGAGAAGGGAGATGACGTCACACTCCACTTTTGTTTCTTTCGTCCTCTAGGAAGACTGATCTAATACCGTAATTTTATGACAATAAGAGAAGGGAAATAATATTACACTCCATTTTTGTTGTTTTGTCTTTACTTGCCGTTTTTTAAAGAAGTCAATTACATAACTGTCCTTCAAGAGCACTGTAAGACTCCACAGTTATCCTAGAATACTCTTATACTTCGTATTTTTTATTTTAAAAATCAAATCAAATGCAAGAGTACAAAAGTGGAGTGCGAATATTACATTCCTAGACGATAGGGCCCATTATTATTTTAATGAACTGTGCGTGCAATAGTATATGTCTGACTACCAGTGCAATGAATCCTATTTCTTATCCGTTTAAGCTTAATGAGCTTGTTATTTGAGTAGTTTGCAGGGCCCTTTGGTCAAAAAGAGTTCCTGCAGTTGGACTGTCACCCCCGTTGTGGAGTATTTTCACGTGCTTCCTTATGCTAGGATCATATCAGGCTGGCTTTCTAGGTAAAAACAATGTTACACATTTATATTTCTTTCCTTCTTTCGTCCTTTATTTTTTTTTCAAAAAAAAAAAAAGGAATACTTTTAGGTAGGTCTTATGCCTTATACTTTAAAGTTCATGATCTATTTGCTTTCAAGTTTATGTCGATCTGTTTGTTATGGGCTTCTAAATTATACTCACCTAACACCAAGTTTCAAGAATTGCATTGAGAAAGTTATTAGCTTTTGAACATTGCATCACAATACAGAAAAATCCAGCTAACATTTGTTCTTAAAAAATATTTTATTTTTCAATTTCAATTAATCTTCAACTATTAAGTGCCTCAAATTATAAGCAAGTTTGTCCTTTTAAAAAGGAGGCAAACTTGAAAATGGATCTTATCCGCTCTGTTTATCATAGCCTACAGTTCTATGTAATTTCATAATATCTCTTCATGGTACTTGTCCTGAGATGATGCAAGATCTTACAGCTAATATTTTTCTGATTTTGACCTTCGTGAAATGTTGCAGGGAAATGTTCTCAAGTAGTGTGCAAGATTTGAGGTTGGGATTGGGAGATGTAAATGCCAATAGCTCTCAGAAGACAGAGAACTCTTGTGACAAAGAAGTTGTTGCTAATGGTGATAACTCTAATAAACATTGTGGTGTAGCAGATTCTATTGAGAGAGAGACAAATGGTGCTAATGCTGAGTCTCCAAAGCTGAAGAGTAATGATTCTTTAGGTGGGCCACATGGTATGGATGTGGAGGACTCTTCTACTGATGGCCCTCAGAAGGAAGACAGAAAGAAAAAATTTGGCAATGCAATCAAAGTTTACCATCACCAGAAAAGGGCAACTTCTTCTGTGGAGAATAGTATGAATTCCTCAACAAGTGGTATCAAGGTTAAGGTAAGATTTGCTTCTCGATTTATTTTATGGCATTCAACTAACGATTTTATTTTACTTTTGATGCCATTCTTTTCAACTATATTTTCTTTCTTATTTTTGTTCTGCCATGACAGTCGTGATGTTCTGGAAATGGAACTAAAAGTGTTTGTTTCAAAGTAGGAAATTTTGATTCCTGTAGGCAAGAACTTCAGCTTGTTGCTAGTTGTTGTTGTGATTTCATTGAATGAGAAGGAATTTAGCTGTCAATAAGCAGTTATGACAGAGGGTTTGATTAAGTTACCGAAAATTAGAGGCAGAGTGATTTTCATGGCTTCTCTTTGGTGTATTTGTTTTAATAGAAAAAGATTGGTCTTGGAATACCATAACAAGAGATTGGGTTTCATTGGCTTCTTCTTGACCTTGTAAAGTAAGCCTTCCATAAATTTTGAAGCTTCTCCCTAGGAAAGGAACCAAATTTAGCTTTGATGGTTACTCTCTCAGTAATCCGTGTCAGCTAAGAATTGGAGGTTTATTTAGAGACCTGGGGAGATTTTTATTCTTCAAGCCAACTGGAATAGATCATACCATTAAAGAGCACCAGGATACATTTTTTTCTTAAGTTGTCACTCCTATGATTTTTAGGGGCTTTAATTGGATATGTAGAATGAAGAAATGTTTAGGAGTTTGCTTAATGAAAAATATGGCTCAACATTTAGATTTTGCAGATTGTTGAGTATTTATAAAATTAAAGAGTAAGTACCAGGAAAAAGCCTAAACACTCATTCAGGATGCTGAATTTCCTTATATTATCCTTAAATTTTGTCTTTTCAATTTATTATGATAGCCCCTTCAATGGTTGGCAGGTGGAGATGGTTGATTCCATGACGAAACCATGCGTTAATGAATGCAAAGACGAAAAGGTTGATGCTGGAAATAAGATTTGCAGTGTTATCCCATCTGATCAAGGAGTGCCCATCGGAGAACATGTGCTGGTTGCTTTTCAGCTGGACTCTAAATCTCTAGAAAAGGTTGATGTTTGAAAAAGACTAAACACTTCGTTCAGGATGCTATTCCTTATATTATCCTTAAATTTTGTCTTCTCAATTTATTGTGATAGCCTTCAATGGTTGGCAGGTGGAGATGGTTGACTCCATGATGGAACCATGCGTTAATGAATGCAGAGACAAAAAGGTTGATACTGGAAATAAGATCTGCAGTGTCATCCCATCTGATCAAGGAGTGCCCATCGGAGATCATGCACCGGTTCCTTTTCAGCTGGACTCTAAATCTCTAGAAAAGGTTGATGATTGAAAAATCCTAAACACTCGGTTCAGGATGCTGAATTTCCTCATGTTATCCTTAAATTTTGTCTTTTCAATTTCTTAGAATAGCCTTCAATGGTTGGCAGGTGGAGGTGGTTGACTCCATGATGAAACCATGCGTTAATGAATGCAGAGACGAAAAGGTTGATGCTGGAAATAAGATCTGCAGTGTTATCCCATCTGATCAAGGAGTGCCCATCGGAGATCATGCTCTGGTTCCTTTTCAGCTGGACTCTAAATATCTAGAAAAAGTACAAGTTACTCTGGCTTCGAAAGAAAATGAGTTATCGCAGACTGCCCTAAGAGTTCTTCTCCGGAAAAGAGATAAACTGGTATTAATTTTTAGCGGCAACTTGTTATGCGTGTGTTTCTATGCATGTGTCTCAATATTTTTACCAAGCTCAACTTTGGAAGTAGGTTAGCGAGCAACTTCCAATTTAGGACAATTAAGAAACTACATATATATATATATATGCGCATGCATACATATACATGTACAAATTTAGAACCAACCATATATGCACACATATTTTTACCAAGTTCAATATTTGTTTATATATATATATATATATATTTCTCTAATTGAGACACTCACTTTGCCCAATGGGGACTGAGCCCTCGACCTTCTAATATAGAAGGTGAGGAACTATTTGATAAATCTTTCTTTCTTCTATAGATTGCTTATTAAAATTTGACATACAGCTTCCTTCCTGCTATATATGATAACACTGTATTCATCTGTTCTTTGATCTGGTTTGCAGTCCCGTCATCTACGGAATCTAGAAGATGAGATTGCTGTATGTGATAAAAATATCCAAACAATCTTAGATGGTATTGATCTTTTCTGGCCCTATTATGCTTTTTTTTTTATTGTGGTTTCAGTTTCCCTTTCTTATTCATCTTTAAATTTAAATACTATTTGGTTAGAAGTTTAGCGTAGATCGGTATTGAAGATTTAATGGAGCAATCAGTGGAGGAAAATCTTTCGGTCTGTTCTACATGTTTCATTTCTCTCTTTGCTTCCGTTTTATGCTTTACAACATAGTATCAGAGCCTAATTTCTCTTCCTAGGTTTGGACCCTTATTTTGGGGTATTCCCTTAGCATTTGAAATTTTGTTAAGGTTTTTCGGTGCTATTTGTTGCCGGTTTGTTCGGCAGTAATGTTCTTCGCTTTTGCCGTGTTTCCGGCAATTTTTATTGACTTGTTTGGTCTGCTGGTGTGTTTGGTAGCATTGTTTTCGTCTTTGCCGTGTCTCTGCAGTTTTTATCAACTTGTTTGGGCTGCCGGTGTGTTCGGTAGCATTGTCCTCGCTTTTGCTGTGTCTCCGACAGTTTTTTGTTGACTTGTTTGGACTATCGGTGAGTTCGGTAGCATTATTCTTTGTCTTCTCTCTTCATCATTCATACTTCTTGTTACTCGTCATCTCAATGGCAAGTTGGGAGTATTGAAGATTTAATGGAGGAATCAGTAGAGGAAATCTTTCAGTAATTGATGTTGTTTCCTATTATTGAAGATTTGGTGTTACTAGAGGAATCAATGGAGAAAAATCCTCCATGTTTCCTATTTTCTAATTCTTTCCATTCTCATAATTTCTTCTCCTATATAAAGGAGCCTCCACCGTTATATTGTATATGAGTTGAGAGAGTATTATAAAAGTGATGTAGCCCTTTGGGCTCTGTGTCATAGATGTAGGCCCTAGTAGCTTAACCACGTAATATCGGTGTGTTCTATTTGTTTCTTTTCTCTTTGCTTCCATTTTATGCTTTACAACAATAGGAAAAGTGGATTCAATTCTGTTTTAGTAGGCATTAGCTGGTTACCAATGAATGCACTCATGCCAAAAGCACTGATTGTGCTGCAGAATAACTGGCTGCAGTTCTAAAAGTTAGACTTAGAGTTTAGCTTTGAATTAGAGTATACCTCCTGTCTGTTTGTTGGATTCCTCCAGAATTTGATTGGTTTTTTGGATTTCAAAATCATATTCTGATTTCTATTTCTTCCAAAATGATCAACATGACAAATGGGGTTCCAGGAATGGGAGTTGGTTGGAGGTAGTGACATTTTTTATTTTGTTGTTTACGATTTTGCATAAAATATTAAAAGGTAAGAGACGGAGAGGGTGGCCAAAACTAACATGGGATGACGATATTAAAAATGATTTAAAGAAATTAAATATAGTAGGCGAAATGGCACGTAATAGAAAGGATTGGAGAAAGAGAATTCTTGTGGCCAACCCTGTTCATAAGAATTCTTAGGAAATAAATTAATGTATTTTTGAAATATAATGCCAATAATGGGTTTCATGACAAAGTACGACTCAGAAAATAACGGAGCGCTATTCTATATAGAAGCCAAAGAGAAGGGCGCTTGAAAAATTGTGTATATGATATCATCAATAAAGAACAATACTCCCTGTCAACATGCTTGGACCATAATATGACAAACACAGGAGCTTTCAAGAGAATTTTCCATGGTCCAAAAAAATGCTATTGTGTTTCTAATTTTGGAATTTTTGGCGTAAACCAAACATGATGAATTCAGAGAGATCTATTCAACTATAGGTGAGGGAGCTATAAATCAATACATGGGCCATATCTTTTAAATCAATTTGTATATTGCACATATCTGTTTGGGATCAATTAATTTCTAGCTATTGTGTCTGATTGTTGGATATATTACTATTGCCTTCCATAGAAAAAAACCACTTTGAAAAAATTTGGGATTTCGAAGTAGTTGGTCAGTCAAAATCCATATTAGTACCTGCCATGACCTGTAGTAAAATCTGACCAGAAGAATTTGGTGTGGTTAGTGGCCACTGCCATTAATTTCCTCCACCACAATTTTTTTACAGAGATTCAGTCTCCAATTCCACATCTTCTTATGGAAGGTGGAAACAATGCCACTCTTGTTCTTCCTGAGCCACGTGGTAGCTCACCAGGACTTATTAATGATGGGCCATGGTAGCGATCAATAAACATACAATAACTCAAATGTGTTTTCATCTTTCTACTTATTATAGGTGGTGCAGATGATATGGCTTTAAAGATAGAAGCCATTATAGATGGTTGTAATGAGGTCTGCCTAAAAAGCGAAAGACAAACTCGAGATAGTACTAATCAACATTTTGAAGACCAAGGCTCACCTCAAAATTTGAAGAGGAAGAGATTAGCTGAGGCCATCCTCACATTGCGAAATCCATGTCAGGCAAGTTTTGCCATCAGAATATCATATTTTGTTTTGCATTTCTCTTTCCCATGAAGTTCTTAATATAATTATTTTGGTTTTCTACATTCTTAATTTTATCATCTATAAAAAGATCATTAAGATGACATGAAGCACCTTGGAAAGGTTACCATAATGTCAGTTGCATTGAAAGAGGAAGCATATTTTTTTTTTTCAAATTTGTGAAAAACATGACATTTTAGGGGTTACATTGACATATCCTTTATACTTCCGCTACATGCCAGCTGATGAAGGCATTAAACTCATTTGATCAAGTCAAGATGGTCCAACTCAAACTGAGTTTCAGCTGAATTCATAATTTGTTCAATAATATTATCTGATGCAACTCTGATAACTTAGATAGTTGTTTTGTCCAAGTCATGCATGGTGAGATTTGCTGTGTCACTGTCTCTTCATTCTAGAAGTGGCCCAATGCTGCTAAAGGGTTGTGACCCTTAGTAACATTTAGGGGAGGGGAAAAAGGCTCCTGCAGGGGTTGGATGGGTCTACATTATTATATGTCCCTCGTAAAAACTCTAGAACCCGTCCTTGCCTTTACATTCCTTATAACCTGGTGGCTATTCCCCCCATATAACATTACTGTTACAGTATAGTTATAGCATATCTCCCCCCTCCCCACTTTTTCCACTGGAGAGTGAATCAAGTGTTCTGACTAGGAGGCGACCACAGTAGTCTTGGAACCACCTCCGATTTGCTGCCTTCAATGGCCATTGGATTGTGTACATTATGTATTTGTATCCTTATATATCTCTGTTAAAGCAATGGATCTGCTGTGAAATATGTTTTGCAGTTCTTATAACCACATATGGAATTTTATGCATTGCATTTTGTTTATGGCATACAAAGTATAACAAAATTTTCACACAGCAGGAACTGGATGACATATGTTATGAGAACAATTGGATTTTACCAACATACTGTGTGACCCCATCAGACGGTAAGTTTTCCGGTCTCTAGATATGGATTGCTTTTTTATTGTACTATGAGCCGCTGATTGCAGTAGGGTTCATGTGGTGCCATATGGAAGAGGATGGTTGAAAAAATTACTTAATCCTAATTGGGTATATTGTTTAAATTTTTTTTTCTTAATTGAACTCATTTTAATTAGATTTTTTCCCTCACATAGATGGATTCCTGGCCAATGTGACTGTGAAAGGGATGGATTTTGAGTGTTCAGGTGGAAGCAGCTTGCGTTCCAATCCCCGTGAAGCAAGGGAGTCAGCTGCTGCACAGATGATTGGTAAATTACAAGATATGGCAGGCAAGATGCAGTAGTATTAGGTTCTTCTGCGAGAAGTGCTCCCGAGCAGTAAGCTTGGTAACCCGGTGTATACCTCCTTTTACTGGGCTCCAATAGTATGTAAAAATTAGTTTTTCTTTTGTCGAATATTCCCCTGCAAAACAGTGTATTTCACTTTCTGCAAGCACAATGTGGTATCTGTGCACTAGTGAAATCTTATTCATATCGTTGGCTTCGTTGTTTGTAGTTTGTCGTTTGATCCTTTTTCTGGGAGTGGCAATCAGTAGTTATCCTAGATGGCTGCACTGTTTTTAGGTAATTTGGCGGCATTCAATTTAAACCTCCTCTTTCTCATTTCATTTTATTTTATTTTCTGACCGTGTCCGTGTTTGAAGTAAATCATACCATTTGAACCTGAACCATCCTTTCACAGATTTAGGTCACACTCACTGTTTTAAATAGAAAATTTTGAATAGCCAACTAATGTAAAAGAATGTATATATTGAAAATGAGACAAAGTTTAGAAGATTCTGACTTAGCCATTTATGCGAGATAGATCACACCTGCTATGGAATTTCCATTGGAGGAGCAATAATATGATCAAATTTTGAGGCAAGAAAACACGTGTTTGATGCTATAGTCATGTATGGCCATGATTTGTCAAACGTGTGGGCTCAATGAATTGAGATTGAGCCATTTATTATGAAGTTCTTTTAATGTTACTTTTTCACAGGGATGGAAGGTTTTGAGTCCCAAGGGCAAAGTGGGTGTAAATGGTGCGTGTGTTTCTTGCCTGTAATTTCTTTTGTGTATGGTAATATCATTGTAATATCTCCTCTCTTTTATCTGGTATACGTTTTATGTAATGGTATTCATTTTATGTCTAGATCACTCAGTCGATAATTTTTTTGCAAAGGGTATGTTTAGACTCAAATAGCTAGACTATAAAAAACGGGGATTTTTACATCTAAATATACTTGTGACTTATGAGCCTAATCCCTCTTTTTTTCCGAATTCACACTTCTAGACACACCACTAAACAACCACCTTTATCTCTCTCTTTTTTCCTTACATTAGAAATTTTAGCCTCTTCGCAAAAGCTTCAATTCGTCTCTATTAGATTTTATTTATTTATTTATTTTAAATGATGCATGTCGTTGTCAGAATTGGGTTTCTGTGGCTAATTCTTTCCTCTTCAGTTTCAACTACGATGTTTGTCATTTACACAGCAGCTCTAGCATTGTTATAGAAGAAACCCTATGTACAACACAACTAATTGCATTTAAGAGCTTCGGATTAATGCAATTGCTAAAAGAATTTCTTTGGAGCAATCTAGAATTTGTGAAGTTAAAATAGCCGCGGAGAGAGAGGAGAAGAGGAGGGGGCACTCATCAATCTCGCTAAAAAAATGATTATATACATCACTACTATGTATAAATAAATTAAAAAAAAAAGTAAAAATTAATAGTTCTTTAAGGATATAAACGTGCTAGATCAAAAATTAGCCTCATTTTCAGCAAACTTCAACAAAAAGCTCAAAATTGAAGGTTTCAGATCTTCCCCATTGCAAATATCTTTCGTTTCAAAGACGCCCTTCATAACACGAGTGTAAATCTTTTCAAGCTGCGGAATGCCATAATCTTCAGTGCGCTCCACAAAAAGCTGCTTGACAGACTCAACTTTGCCGGGAGTCTCTCCGTCTGACATTATAACATCTTCAAATCTGCACCCGCCAGCTTCACAAGATTCGAGCTGACTGCCATCAGCAGGAGAGCTTGGCCTTTGTGGACTTGAATCATCATCTGCTTCAGGTTCTTGGGATGACTTCAGTGGCACCAATTCTTGAGGCTGTGATCCATCTTCTGCTGCGGAAGCTGAAACTTGTTTATGTTCAAAAAGTCAAAAGCTGGAGTTAAAACAATTCTTCAAGAACTTGGGGAAAATGCAGAATGTCGTAACTGGATAACTAGAATGAGCGTTACTAAGCAAAGGGTGAATGTAAATGTAATGTGGCAATCAAAGATTTGTGCAACTAGTGACTGATTGAAAGCACACTTCTGCACCATTCTCATCCCCAGTAAGCATATCCATGTTTTAATGCCTGACTAGAACACATGGTTTCAGTTTGGGATAAAAAAAAAACTCAAAGCCTACGAGCAGATTAAATGCAGTAACACAGTAAACTAGTATCACGTGTCAGAAGAGGCTATCTGAGTGGCATATCAGTCTACCTAATTAACAAGCACAGACATTACACAATAAGTTGGCAAATTTTAAAAAGTAGGGCAAAGACACAACAGACTTTGGCATGTATAAAATATGTATGTTTATATCTATAGCTATATCATAAAGAACAAATATATCTATACGTTTCCTATCTACTCTTTAGATAGGAAACCCTGTTCTAGTTCTTGTCAAAGCAAGCTTTTACTATTGCAGTAAAATTTTAAAATAATGTATACATAATTATACTAAATGTTGGTTGGTTAAAAATTACATATTTAAAAAAGAGTGATTGATGTTGAGATGGATGCGTGACGAGACAAAAAAGGATCAAATTAGAAACAAACATATTTGTGGGATGATTGAAATAACACCTATTGCAGATGAAACAAGAGAACTGGTTAAGATGGGTTAGCCATGTGGAGCGCTAACCAATAACCACCTCCCTAGGACACAGCCACTAAGAGCCCAATGTGTGTTTTTTTATTTTGATTTGATTTCGTATACACATTTTTTTATAATTCTAAGACCCATCATTTGTTTTACTTTGGTTTCGTATACACATCTTTTCATCATTCTAAAAACCATCCCTTAAAATTATCAAAAACCCTGGATGCCCCCAATTCAATTTTTCATGTTGATTTTGTATACAGACGTTTTCATAATTCTAAAATTACCCCCTTTTATAATTATTAAAAAGAAAAACTTTTCACTGTAATGCCTTTTCTAATTATATGATAGAGGTGGGGTATAAAGAAGGTTATGATATTAGATAGAGCAATACGACAAAACAAAATTCATGTAATCAAAACCCCGACTAGCCGGGAAAATACTTCGTTAGGTCAAACAAGCAAGTTTTCCCCTTTATACTTGTATCGTCATGTACCATCTCAAATTTTACTCTGAAAAAAAAACCTTTCAAGTGCTATTTTTTGAAATGCAAATCAAGGCTCCTATTAGAAAGTTTTTGAGCCACATAGGCCATCTGTAAGGAGTATTCAAACAATGTCAGCCATGCACCATAAGGTAGAAATTTTATTCTCCCTCTTTGTTTAGTTTTGTTTCTCTTTTTTACTTTAATCTTAATTATTATCTATCATTTTCTTTTTGTTTTCCACATGTTCAGTACCTAAATCAAGATGAGATGGCTTTTTGGCAAAAAGAAATGAAGGAGATAAAATAAAAAATAATAAAATAATAAAAAAGGTACCAAAAGCACAACTGGGGTAGATGACATAAACCTTCTAATATTATGACTTTTGTACTGCTTCAGTAAGTTGACATCTAATGTGATTTCCATATTGTAGACCATATGACTTTTCACTAATAATCACTATCCAGATATAGTTTAAAACACTGGGCAACATAAACAGCTGGTATAACCAAAGGAAGAATTAAATGGAAACTTTCATGAAAGAATTTTAACCCAACATTCACAAAGCTAAATTTTAATACAACAATATAAGAATTCAAAGTCAGTGATACCTGCATGTGAAGGATCAACGTTCTTCTTTGGTCGTTTCAATGCTTCATAGCTTTGGTCCAGATTGACCTCTGGCTGGACATTGCGAAGTCTGGCACTTGCTCTAGTAACAGTTGCCGACTGAGCAACTGCAGTTGGTGGGAAAGTAAAGTCCCCTGCATCATCTGGCATAGGCAGTGGACCCCCTTCAGCAGCAATCTTTTCACAGAATGCAACCAGCGCAGGGTCAATCTGTGACAGCATTCCATGCACCTGACACAGAATATTTTCTGAAATGAAATGCAAGCAATCAAAAGCCCAACGTGAAGCTAAAAACTGAAGGAAAAATGACCATACTGCATCTCGAAGCTCATGCGCTCTACTGACAATCCTAGCCCCATTGTAATCATCTCCGTTGTATCTCTGTCAGAATCATGAGAAACATCAAACAGGGCATGAATAAAATTATAAGACAAGCATTCAGCTATTACAGTTGCATTAGGTAGGTTCAGTTTAGTCTTTGACATTGGGATCCAGAACTTAGAAGCACAAGAACCAAGGAAACAACCTAAAACTTATTTCATTTGGTAAATCTTCAGATAACAAGGCACTTGTAGATAGGATATGTTTGCAAGTCGCAATATTCACACGTTAGGGCCATTGCTTGGTGCAACAGTGATAGCTCAGGCATCCAAGAGTTAGAACACGTGCTTGAATTTGTGGACATCCTCGATTACCAAGAATCAATAATAATTTGTGGACATCGTCAGTTACCAAGAATCAATACTAGACAATGACCTTTTTTCTGTCATAAGCATTCACACGGGCCCCATAAACCAAGAATTTGTAAGCATGATTCCGTTCACTTGCTCTTGCAACAACACCAGTAACTTCTTATAGTGATTTGACTATGCAAGTCTTTTCATCCCCCCCACACTTCTCATCTTTATATTTTACTGTTACCAAGGATATCTAAAGAGCACCAATCCAATAAAAAAAATCTAGGTGAGGGACTTGGGAGGGCCAATGGGTTAGCCCACGCCAAGCCTAAGTCTCGAGGAACCCATTGCATCTCAACCCGCGCCACACCACACAGGTTTGACGGGGGTTTTGAGTTCCTCAGGTTGACCCAAATTTTAATAACCTACCAATAAATAAACATTACAAAAAGAAAAATGTTAAAGTATATAACTATACACACTTGACACGAAATAAAATCACTCAGATCATTGGACAAGTAGGGTTTTTTTGGGACTTTGGGTGATTTAAACTTGCGAGACTTATAATTCCTTCCTACACTATATTAGAATTTGGAAAGAACTCAATATCTTTTATGATTTATTATTTTGTTTCTTTAACAAAAAATCAATTATTCTAATTATTAAAATTTTAAATCAAGTGTGTCCTAGTTGGGTTAATACCTATTATACCAAAAATCATCTAATGTTAATACATAAAGTACCTTGCCCACACTAGTAAAATTTTTGGGCAGGACTGGGGTGCTCGTGTTAGACCCACCCAAGTCCCACCCTAAAAAAATCACCACAAGGTTGCAATCCATAGCCTTTTCCCTTATAACAATATAAGGAGCCATCGGTAAAAATTGACTTCCTGTGTTCCACAGAGTGACACAAATATAGGTGTTGTCGATACCTAAACAATGCCATAACCAATCAAATGTGAAGATAAGTGAAAATTGTTGTTACCAAAACTGTCAAGCATAGTGGTGCAATGTAGGGAAAGAAAGGTCAATTTGATCTTTACTCATTGTCGAAAGAGGAAAAAAGAATATTAGAACAGCAGAAATATGGTAAAATTGGCTTCTATATCAAACAAGTATATAAAGAACATATATTAAATGATTGTGAATGAAAAGAGAATAAATGTACTGACTCCAACTGATATAGAACAAGTAAACTTAATTTGATTAATATGTCAAGCGCAATGGTCAAATCAAAATTTATGCTCAATCTAAAACAGCCCATGAAATAGTATTGGTTTGTGCATCTGCGCATAGTTTTCATGTACTACTTAAAAAATAAGTTTAAGTAGATTCATCAATAAATATAGAACCAAGGTTTCACCACTTTATTAACTCAAAACTATAAAATGCAGAGCATGCCAACAAGGAGCAAATTGAAAATTTAACAGACTACGCTTTGGAACCTGGGTAATGAAGTTTTGGGTTATATTGAGTCTTATTTATGGTTAATAAATATCTGTTTTCTTGTGTTTTGGGTCAAGAGTATGTTAATAATTTCAGATTTGATAGACGGGGGCTATAGTATTGGCCTATGGATCTTATTTTGGAATAACTTATAGTATTTGCATCTATCATGATCCTTAATACATGAAGAATAGTCTTTGGTGGTCAAAATTTTGAAATTTTCTATTTCAATGGCATGCTTCTATTAGATGTACGCAAAATCCAACAGCCAATACATATCAATGTGATTATTTGATTCAATAAAAAGTTGTGCTTTCACAATTTGAGAGAAGCTTTTAAAGCTTTAAGTGAGATGTGTGATGTAATCTTACACTAGGGGATGATTCATAAGAAATTCTAGACGATGATCCTATTCATGTACGTTTTGTTCTTCTCCTTTTCTTCAATTTACCGAGTGTCACTCATGCTATTGTAGCAAGTTACTGTTCACATCGCTGGAGCATTCACAGGACTTGAACGCTGGACAAGTTTGATCGTTTTACTCTTGTAGAGTAGTTCGTAAGGAAGGATATGATAACTGTGTTTTGGCCAAGGCTAGAGCGGAATGGAAAAATAGTTTTCATGTCAGTATTGGGAAAACGCTTTGTCGTGTTGTGTTGAGTTAGTTTTATGCTATGTTCGTTATGAGGGAAGGAAGGGGGAGGGAGAAAGAGAGGAGGGGTGGAGCAAGTTGCCATCGTTTGGTACAAGGGAGAGTTGGAGGCTAGGGAAGGATGGATGGATGAAGCCTTTCTCCTGCCAACCATTTGCATCCCTCAAATTTTGGATGGACAAGAGGAGGGAAGAGAAAGATGAATATGGTATATAACATTAAGTGATATTGTTATCCTTCACCAATTTTTGTAAAATAATTTAAGGATGGTATAGTTTTAAAAGAATAAAAAAAACCCATCCCTTCCCAGACAATGGAAGGTATCACCTCCTCCTTCTCCCTCCATTCAACCAAACAAAAAGGAAGAAGGATACCTTCCTTTCCTATGGATGTTTCCTATCCTTCCTTCCATTCATTTCTCCATCCTTTGTATCAAACAAAGCAAAAGTCAAAAGTCAAAAAAAGTTTGATTTAAGGTCTAGGACTTGTACTACTACTAGTAGTAGTTTTGCTGCTATTATTTCAGTACTCTTGAACAGTTCACAAAAACTTCAGCGCACTTATCCTAAGAATGTCTCTCAGCACAAAAGATGGTTTTCTTTCAAAAAATATCATTTTCAGTTTCAAAAATCTTGAAAATAAAACGATGAAAATTTTAAAACATGAACCTCAACTTTTCGTAGTTCTTTTTATAGACTTAGTTTTTGAAGAGCACATAAAAATTATTTTTGTAATTTCTAATGGTCCATTTTGGATAGCTGTCTTAAAATGTATTTCAAAAAACAACCCTTCATTTTCAACTTTTCCTTTTTTGAAGAGAAAAAAAATTCATTTTTTCAATGAAACCAAACAGGCCAAAATTACTTATGAGAGTCTTGTTTGCATAGATTTGATAAACCATGTGAAACTTTTTTTTTTATTTTTTATTTTTCTGTGCCAAATTATATTAAAAAATAATATTACTGAATACACACCTTTGCATTGGCCAAAATAAGATCAAAATCTTCCAGGAATGCTTTGGATGTAATATACTTTCCACTGTCAACATGTTGCAGCAGAGTTGCCATGTCCATGGGATTCTGGATGATTGTGCGGTAGTTTGGTGCATCTTCATCCATGACAGGATAATGGAAGACACTGAATCGTTTATCATATAGAATTCTGCATCAACGAGGAAAAAGAAAATGACAGACGATTAAAAGATTTCAGAAATGATCTTCAAATGCCTGCTTTCATTGCCCACAAAATGTGTAAAATAAAATTCAATGCCAGCAGAGTTTGAATTTTTATAATTTTTTTCAAGTTCTATTTTTCATCTATAGCTGATGTTAGCTTTCCAAGTGGTCACAACAGAGTATTGGTTTGCTAAGTTGAGTAAATGAGTATCGCGTGTGTATAAATTCTACAAACATTTCTATATTACAAAATGATTTGTGTGCAACACTAATCCAACTTGCAATAAGAAACTGCCGAGTGCAAATGTGACACAACCTTACACAAAAAACAAAATATGAACATTTTAATGAAATGGACTCAGGTTAGAGATCTATTTCACCGGTTGCAAACATCACGGAGGCACATTCGCAATCGGCGAAGCGCATGCTGCTCGGCTTCAGCCTTGGCTTTTAATTCTGAGGCCTTCGGGCCACTAGCCACTTTTGGAGCTTTGGGGAGTTCAGTAATGGAAACGAGTTTCTGGGACTTTTTTGCCTTGGCCTCGAATGCTATTGACAAAGCTGCTTCAATCAGATGGCTAAAAAAAGTAGACCTGTCTTCCCCTGATGGTTTGTCCACTTGATAACTGTCAAATAAATATAACACAATATATTTACTTTAGTATATTATAACATAATTTAACATATAATGAATATAAGATATTCCAGTGAAAATGACATAATAGTTACTTTAACAGGAAAACTGCTGTATAAAATATATAAAACCAAGTAACTAAATGAAGTTCTGCGGAAACTTAAGTTGCAATCAGGCACAAAAATTGCAAATCTCAAAAGGAGGATGATAAAATTTGCACTAAGACTACCATTTTCATGTTCATTAGTTAAAACTATAGAAACAGTAATTTTTTATGGATACTGAAATCATGGAACAATACATGTAAATGTGCAGTTGTTACCAGAATTAATTATAATTTAGGTATTAAAGCTCTAAGATGCCTCAAAATGGTCACTGGTCCAAATAATTGTAAGCCCCCCTCCCCCCCAACAAAACCAAAAAACTTGCAGAGCCAAGTCTTCTTGGAACCAGTAAATGATAGAAGCAGAAGAAAAATAGTACAACGTAAGAATCATATTAATAGTCAAAAGGTGGGAAAGAACCTTGAGAAAAGTTTTTTGGCATATTTGTGGACCAATTACCGTTCATTATTGTTGAGCCTTTGGCAATCACCAAGGCTACAGAAAAGCACCATAGGGATTCTTATGACGTAGGAGCATTAGTTCAAAATTCCAACTAGGGCAAAAGGGCAAACCCAGTGCACAAAGGGTCAAGCCATTGCGGGGTCTGTGGAGGGTCAGATGTACGTAGCCTTACCTCTGCATCCAGAAAGACTGTTTCTTTGTTTTGAATCCGTGACCTCCAGGTCAATATTCCAACTAGTGATCTGAAAATGAGTTTGTGGTTTGGATAAAGGGGCAGAATAGAGTTTTTTTTGTTTCCTTCCAGTGGGTAACTTGAGTTTTATTATTTACCGCCTCCCGGGGGGGGACTTGAAAATCTATTTGACCGAGGAACCAGTTGACAAAGATTTACAATGAAGCTCATAAAGACATACTCTTGAGTGCTAACAATTTCTCATTACAAGAGAAAAGGAAAAAAAAAAAAAAGAGGGGGGGGGGGGGGGGGGGGGGGGGGGGGGAGAGGAATATATATATATAACTCCACAACACGAGAGTTTAGCTAACAGAAGAAAAAGAAGACAACCAAATTTAAAAATACCATAATTAATCAACTAGAATGGTTGCCAAACATGCCCTAAGACAGAAGAGAGGACCAAAAAAAATCGGTTCGACATTGGATCTTAAACTTGACGCACCACATCTAGAAGCCTGTGTCCAATGCAGTCACAGCATTTGAAAATTAAACAAACAACCTAAGATGTGAAGTTGGTCCAACCAAAAAGGCTGGTCCATGCCAGCCATCTCTCAATCTGAGCCTTCAGCGCCAAAATCCACCAAGCTTGATCAAGACCTTTAATCCTATCATATGAGATACAAATTGTTCTCGGGCCAAGAAAAAAAAAATACAACAGAAGCTGATGAAGATGTGCCATACTTGCACTTGAGCTCTGTGATCACCCTTATCAGCTGCGAAAACCACCATGAAAGCAGATCTAGCTCAAAAACTCTTAATATTTTGAAAATAAATCATGGACAGCAGCCTAGCAGCCCCACATGCTTGAAAGTCTTTCAGTGTAGCACTTGGTCCACTTCCATCTAAACACCAAATCCTACTTACAAAACAACCCACGCCACCATTGATGGGACTTTGTTGCACGGACTTGAATACGTGTACTAGATGCGGGTAAGTATCTAAGCATTGGATTTATCAAATCTCAAAACTAAACACACGGGCATCGTTAGATATTCATATTATATAATTATTTTATTTTATTTTTTAGAATATAAAATTGTTTTCACTTTAGTTCTTTGCGATGCGAATGTGTCCCAGCTTAGATATCTGAGGTGTATTCTGATCTGGTTCCAAATTGTCTCTGGCCTTAAGGTGAATGTTGAAAAGAGCGTTTTGGTGCCGGTGGGAGAGTTCCCTGAGATTGAGTCCTTTGTTGATATTCTTGGTTGTCGTACTGGCTCTTTTCCCATCTCTTACTTAGGGCTGCCTCTGGGGGCTCCTTCAAGATGTGTGGGGGTTTGGGACCCTGCGGTGGATAGGTTTGAGAGGAGGTTGGCGGGTTGAAAGAAGCAGTATCTCTCCACGGAAGGTCGGGTCACTTTGATTAAGAGCACCCTTTCTTGCCTTCCCACTTATTTTATCTCTCTATTCCATATTCCCCCTTCAGTTGCGGAGAGGATTAAAAGATTGCAGCGTAATTTTCTGTGGGGGGGAAGAGGTGAAGAGTTCGAGTTTCATCTGGTTCGTTGGGATTAGGTATGCAGGCCGATTTGGTATGGAGGTTTGGGTCTTAAAAGACTGGTGCCTTTTAATAAGGCTCTCCTTGGGAAATGGTTGTGGAGGTCTGGAATGGAGAGGCAATGGCTTTGGAGGAGGGTCGTTGCGAGTCGTTTTGGGGAGTCTAGAGGAGGGTGGAGTTCTCTGGAGGTGCGTGGTCCTCGGGGTGTGGGGGTTTGGAAGGTCATTCGAAAGGGATGGGATGACTTTGCCAAACACGTTCGTTTTCAAATCAAGGATGGTAGGAGGATCAGTTTTTGGGAGGATGTTTGGTGTGGGGATTCTCCTCTCGCTCTCACCTTTCCTCAACTTTGCAGGATTGCTACGGATAGGTAGGCCATGGTGGTCAATTGTTATCATCTTGATAGCGGGAGACTGGTTTGGGATGTTCGATTCAGGCGATTGTTTCAGGACTGGGAGATCGAGGAGACCATTCGCTTTTTGGAGTTGTTGTATTGCCAGAGGATTGTGGTTGGGGATTTTGATAGTTGGACCTGGACTACCAACTCTCAGGGGCGTTTCGAGGTTAGGTCCTTCTTCAGCTGTCTCACGGATGTACCTAGAGTTCACTTCCCTTGGAAGGCTGTTTGGCACTCTAAGGCTCCTCTCAAGGTGGGCTTCTTTGCTTGGACCTCTGTTCTGGGAAGGATCTTAACCCAGGATAACTTGAGAAAGAGAAATCAGGTGGTGGTCAATCGTTGCTATATGTGCCTCCGGGATGAGGAAACTGTGGATCATCTTCTCCTCCATTGCATCACGGCCAGAGACTGCTGGGATTTGATGTTTGGCTTGTTTGGGTTTCTTTAGGTTATGCCTGGATCCGTTAAGAGGGTTGATTGAGGCTTGGAGAGGGTGCCTTGTGGGGGCTCACATTCAAGATGCTTGGAGGGCTACGCCTCTTTGTGTGTGGTGGTGTATTTGGCTTGAGAGGAATAGGAGATATTTTGATGGGAAGGAGATGTCGATTTCTACTCTCAAATTCTTTATTCTCTCCACTCTTTTTTGTTGGGTTTCAGGGAGAGATAATAGATCTTTAGATGAAATTGTCGATTTTTTGGCCTCTTTGAAGGCTTTAGAGGTCCTTTGTGGCCTTGTATTTCTTTTTTGGGATTCGCTCCCCTTTTGAGTGTTTTTATAAAATTTTACTTATCACAAAAAAAAAAAAAAAAAAACAAAAATTGTTTTCACTCACTTAAATGCAATAATGTAACAAAAGGAACATAATAGGAGGGAGTTATATGTACAATTACACAATAACCTTGAAATATTATAGATGTACATCCAATACCCACGTCCACGTTCAAGTATCACGTGTCCAATACGAATACATCATGCATTTTTTTAGAAAAATTGTAACATAGGATAGGACACCAAGATCTGAAGGTAACTTGTCATACTATTAGCCTTCTAAAAGTCTCAACAAATCTTGGGGGCTGCATTTAGAAATATCGTAAAAGGTTTCGCTGTGATCACCCTGTGACTTCTTTCACAACTGCAGATCCATAGGCAACTACAGAAATAAAAAATGCAGAACCAAGAAAGACCCCTGCTTCTTTTTTAACCACACTTCCTCTACTCCAATCAACCTTCACAATCATGATATAAAACCTCCAAATCTTCCACTTTTCTTGACAAACCAATGAATATACTTAATCAGAATTAAGCTACCACAACCAATCTGATGCAAAAGAACAAACACTGAAATAGATCCACAGTAGGGAAATTCTTAACATGTACAGCTTGGAACATTTTTCAAATCCACATCACTCAGCAGTATTCAGTTTCAGATCATTCATGACAAGCTGGCAATATCCATGGTTGCATTCAGGGTACGGCGGGTGACTGCTCAGTCTGTCTATTAGTAGTGAGGCCTCATGTCACTTCTTGTCAACATCTTATAGAAAGACAGGGATCACTCTCTAGTTACCCCGCTCAAAACATTGAACGTTATTTGTTTGATTTTTATTGCTCCTCAGGTAATGAACTTGTAGAATGACAAAATAAATAAATAAGGAAAACAAATATGCATTGGTTCTCATGACAAGGGCCAATTCATACGAACCTTAAAAGGAGCAAATCCCCTTAACATAGATCCATATAGCCTATCACACTTGCAGCTCAAACATATCAGCCATTAATTTGAATAGCGTTCTATTTATTTATGCTAATTCAAAGTTTACTGTAATGCAATAGAAACTAAACAATCATCCTCATTCCTCACTGAAACCAAAAAGTTTGACATAGTACCGTATCAGTAGGCAATGACAAATGGAATGAAGATGTTACAGAGCAAAACCATAACCATCATACACAAACCAATTAAAGTCAAATTTACAGAGGCAGAACAAACTTTAGGGAATGCATCATGTTTTTGGTTGTTCTAAAAACTGCCAACGCAACATAAAGGGGCAAAATGCGAAACAAAGATTATAAATAGCGCCAGTGGATATTGCAAATAATAAATCGCAGAGAGAATTGATAGAACGTACATGTTACGACAAGAAAAGATTGAAGAAGAAGGCGGCTCATTTGGTTCATTAAGTGGAACCGAGGATATCCCAAGTAATAATATGGGAAAGTCAGATGGCAACTCTTCCAACAAAGTCAGGAGAACAGCCCTAAGCTGCTCATGTGCCTGAAATATTAAATTATCTAATTAGATAGGATAAGCATGACATACAGCAGCTGGTAACCTAATTTGATTGACTAGGCAAGAAGAAGAAGAAGAAGAAGAAGAAGAAAAATCTAAATCAAGTACTTATAAATTCATTAAGCAACAGCTTGGTACCATCACAGACTCACATTATCCCACCAAAGATGGAATTGAGGTAAATAGAGTATTGACGGTGTAGTTCTCCTTGCTTCACCGAATATATGCACCAATGCCTCTTCTGGGGTCTTTGCGCTAGGGTCCGAAAGAAGAGACGGAAGTCCAAGAGAATGAACAGGAAATTTCTCTAATTCATGCAAAATTGCAGGTCCTAGATGATCCTGCAAAACTAAATTGGTAAGTACATTTAGTTTGCAGTTCACATTATGAACAGTTTGTATATAAAAGAAGGTTCCAAGATAAATACCAGCCCAGCATCTTCACAACCGTATAACAGAAGCCGAGGCCTGTACACGAGAGGAATAGCAGAACCATAGGAAAGCATGGAAAGTTTGGTCAGTTCTGCCGACACTGCAAGAGCAGGGAAAATATCTGATAAAAGATTCATGGCTTTCTGGAGATGTCTTTGTAGACATGGTGCAACAACCAACGACAATGGTCTAGAGTGCACAATTGAGCCTCTATGAGCAGCGGGAGTGATTGTCGACATCGCTTCTATGAAATGATACTTTTCCACCATTATTGAATCAACATCTATTAGAAATTTATCATCACTGGTGTAAACTTGAGGATATTTTTCACGAAAAGCTCGAATGGCAGCTTCAGTGCACAAAGCTTTTAAATCAGCACCACAATATCCCACACAACTAGCTGAAAGCTCCATTTTTAGTTCCTTGGAAGGAGGCTGCTTCCACTTCCTAGTGTGAATGTCTAATATTTCAGCGCGTGCCTCACAACCGGGTAAAGGAAAATTGAATTCACGATCAAATCGACCAGGGCGGCGCAATGCTCCATCAATGGCATCAACCCTGTTGGTTGCTCCAATCAAAACGACTTGTCCCCTAGAATCAAGACCATCCATCAAGGCAAGCAAAGTTGACACAATTGAATTGTGAATTTGCTCTTGTTTGCTAGATCTAACAGGGGCAAGTCCATCTATTTCATCAAAAAAGATAATAGAAGGCTGGTTTCGTTGAGCTTCTTCAAATAGTAATTTCAATTGCCTTTCAGCTTCGCCAACCCATTTGCTAAGCACATCAGCACCTTTTCTCATGTAAAAGCTGACCTTCTGGCCAGCCTTTGAAGCAGCACAAGCTAGTGCTCTTGCAATCAGTGTTTTCCCAGTGCCAGGGGGTCCACATAACAAGACCCCCCTTGGAGGTGTGATATGGTAACTCGCAAAGAAATCAGGATACAATAAGGGAAAGAAAACCATTTCTTTCAAAGCATCAATATATTCAGAAAGGCCACCAATGTCATCAAAACTTACACTTTCATCAAACTGTAAAGGTTGAATATCCGCTCCTCCCTTGGAACTTGGCCCAGCAGTTTGGATTCCAGTAGTCAAGGTAGCAAAAGCATCACTCTGATGACCCCAACCAGATGCAGCAACATTCAATCCCCATGCTGTTGTGCCATTCATATCTAGACCTCCAAAAAGCCAAGGTGGGCCAGATCTGCTCCCCCCTCTCCCCCAAGGAATAGGAGGACCTTGATCCAGCTCATCCACAAGAAGAGAGTCATCAGAATCTTCAGCTCTTGTTAGGCGATGGCGTTTATGGACACGGGATCCACCCTTCCTCACATCCCTGCCAACCTTGGTTCCCATTCCTTGGTGCAGTATTCTTCGAGGTGATCTTGATCGTTGCTTACCTTCCTCAAGAGAAAGCCTGCGGACATCTGTACGATTGCGAAGATCGTAGCGCCTCCTCCCTTCCTGTTCCTCTTCACCCCCCTCATCATCACCGTCTTCCTCACCTTCATCTTCACCTTCGCCCTCATCCTCACCATCACCTTCACCCTCGCCCTCATCCTCACCATCACCTTCATCCGCATCATTATCCTCAATGTCATTGCCATTTTCTGTCTCATCTTGGCCAACTTTCTCCTCAGAAGTACCATGTTCATCATCGGATTCTAAAGTTAACTGTTCCCTTACAACTGCTTTCGAACGACGAGGCCGTAATCCTTCACGCCGAGGCAATGATTTGGTCTGACGGATCTTTTTGCGCTTAGGAGATGACAACTCATCTTGACTCGCATGATTGTCGATCCGGTTCCTTGAAATTCGATACTGGGGTCCCTGAAACATAACCGCACACATTTTTAGCCACCAATAATAAATCATAATATGCTGCACTATGATGACGTTAATGCTTCGAAACCATCGAAGCCAAGCTAATAACTGACCTCCATAAATGCATGCTTGGGAGAGTATAAAACCTCACCATTAGGTCATTGTCCTCTGTCCCAGAACTGTCCGTGTATCCTTCCAGATTTACAGGAATTCTTCTCTGTCTGGTAGAACGCCTAAGGTTGGTCACAACTGACTGCTACAATGCCAGGACCAACAAATTATTAGGATTTGTAGTAATGATGCAACCGTGAAAAGGGTAATGGTTGTTTCAGGCTTGTTAGCTTCATCGAAAGAGGCTCTAATAGTTTGTAATGATAAGTCATGAAACATTCAAATTCATGAAGAACTATTACATATACAAGACATAAAACACCATAAAAGAATGAACAAAAAGTTAAATGGTTATGTGCAATTCCCCAACTGTTATAAGAAAAACAGTGAGTGACATGAAGTGCTGAAGAATATGCTTAGAAAAGGGGAACCCCACAAAATTAAGTGCATTCTAAAGGAGAGTGAGTCCCAGCCTCCCAGGGTTCCAACTGCATGGATTCTTTTAAAGCTAAGGAAAATGCAGTCGCAATGAAACCAAGCAAATATGTCCTGAGGCTGATTTTGTGATCACACTATGCCCAACAACTGTAACCAATGCATTACAAATAGAATTTTTGGAAATGCTGGTGTACATCTAGTATGCTCTTCCATCTTGTTTTTACTAGCAGCAAGACAACCATTGCTCAACAAAAGTATTTATATTATATCATTATCAGTCAAGAAATCAAGGATACAAAATTTATGGAACAAAATCCCCAAAATGACAAGATAAATAGATAAGGAATATCATGAAAATTCATCTCCTGCATGATAAAGAGATTGATGCAGATCATTAACCAGCAGCATGAAATATAAATACAAAACATAAGCACGTACAGTGGCATTTGAGGTCCGTACTGGCCGATTACCGGGACGCAACATCTTGGCAATCTGAGAAGCTGCTGTCCTCGTCTTAGACTTGCTTCTCTTGGGGCGAATGATGGATGGAGTATAGTACATGTATTGACGACCATATATCTTTGGCCTTCTTCGGAGCCTATCACTCGTGCGTACTGGCCTCGAAGCAGGCCCATTACCTTGATCAGATCGCTTAGAGTACATGGACAATTACTAGCCTTGGTGATTATATCCTCCCATTAACAATAAACAATTAACCTAACCACACAGTCAGACATCGGCAAACTCAATATTTAGTCTCATATAAAACAAAATGAACATTATTAACAATGCAAATCACCAAAAAAGATAAAAAGACTGAATCAAACTTATGGATAAATATCTGCACTATAAATCCTAGAACAATATCAAAACAAATAGGTGTCATTCTAGTGTTTGATGAAAAACCTAAAACCAATAGTTGCCATTTTAGTCACAGGAAACTCCACACTATCCTGAATAGCCCTGAGTTAGCTTGGGAGGTCCCGTCGACATTAAGATTGTAGAAATATGGAGAAGAGACAGCAATCACCTGCATGAGGGTTTTAACCCTCTGAGAAGATGATCAACAAACAAGTAATTGGAAGTTCGCGTGTAAATAACTAATACACCGACCTGGTTAGCGTGGATCACCTTCTCTTGCACTGCCCAGTGGCCCATGATTGTTGGAGCCTTATGTTGGGTCTTTTTGGCGTTCAGTGGGTTATGCCTCGGACCTCACGAGGTCTTATCGATATTTGGAAGGGGCAGAGGGTGGGGGCTCGAGTTCGCGACTTCTGGAGGGCGACTCCCCTTTGCATTTGGTGGTGTCTATGGAAAGAACGCAATAAAAGATCCTTTGTTGGGGAGGAGTTACCTATTGGGGCTCTTAAGTATTCTATTATTTGTTCTCTTTTTAGTTGGGGCATGGGGAGAGATTATTCTTCCGTTGAGGAGTTTTTGGACTTTTTGGGGTCTTTGAATCCTTAGGCTTTCTTTTTTGCTCTTGATTCTTGTACAGCTCTTGGGATGCGTTCCCCTTTTGAACGCTTTCTAATACAATTTTACTTATAAAAAAAAAAAAACAATTACTAGCCTTGGTAATTATATCCTCCCATTAACAATAAACAATTAACCTAACCACACAGTCAGACATCGGCAAACTCAATATTTAGTCTCATATAAAACAAAATGAACATTATTAACAATGCAAATCACCAAAAAAGATAAAAAGACTGAATCAAACTTATGGATAAATATCTGCACTATAAATCCTAGAACAATATCAAAACAAATAGGTGTCATTCTAGTGTTTGATGAAAAACCTAAAACCAATAGTTGCCATTTTAGTCACAGGAAACTCCACACTATCCTGAATAGCCCTGAGTTAGCTTGGGAGGTCCCGTCGACATTAAGATTGTAGAAAGATGAAGAAGAGACAGCAATCACCTGCATAAGGGTTTTAACCCTCTGAGAAGATGATCAACAAACAAGTAATTGGAAGTTCGCGAGTAAATAACTAATACACCTACCTGGTTTTACCATTTTCCATAAACACCTTAGAATTTTTCATCATTATTATAATAAAAATATCATTAAATCATAAGCTTACATTAGATAAGTCTATATCTATTAATATATCTTGCTTCTATCAAATTATAAAAAAATTTAAAAAATAAGTTTAGTATATATGTGTGCGTAAATTAATACACATAGCGCACATTCAAGATACTCACGCTCTCAGGGAATTTTTAAATTAGCCACTTTTTGCATTTTTCACTTCTAATCCCACTCTTGCTCCCGCTCTATGTGACTTAGGTGGGAGCATCTCCTAATAGAGAAGGTTCCAACAAACTAAAAGATGGTTTTTTAAATATTCCATTGTTATTGTTACCCTCATAGAGAAATCCATCGCTGATGGAAATTCAAGATGGAAAAGCTATCACACTTAGTATGTAAATATATTTCCAAATTCCTGGGCCGACCCTTGCAGCCCAATCACCAAATCAACAAATTAGCCACTGCCCAGTTTAGAACCCTAAAGAAGTTTATTAATTTCGAATGAGAGAACCAAGTAGGGATTTCAGTTCTCTGAGATAAATTATACTACAAGTATTTAACCGATAAAATAAAATAAAATAAAATAAAATAAGGAAAATTGCAGGCCTTATTACCTAGCATCTGTATTTCAAAATTAAAATCCAAAAACAAGACACGGTGTTGCGGACAGAAAATGACATGATACCCAGTGTTCAACAGAAGGAAAGACTGTTCTGTGGCGTCTAATTATAGGTGAAACCATGAAAGATAACCTCAAAGCACCAGAACCCTATATACTGCCCGAGTCACTGGAAGCCATGCAAAAGCTCTTGCCAGATAGAAGTAAGGCGCTAATTCTGCCATAGCTGACCCATATTAAAATACAATATAACACATACACATACATTTATATATATATATATATATATATATATATATATATATATATATATATAATGACTTAGATATATTCCTAGCACTGAGTAAATTAAATGCATTATAAATGATCGGATATATTCCTAGCATCGAACAATTTTTTTTCCAAAACTTAAGAAAAGAAAACAAAGAATGAAAAATATTGCTTAGAATAAAATACCAGCCACGTTTAAACAGTAGAATCTAATAAACTATACTACAAAAGACTATAGATTTCATCGCAATTGAATCCAAATTACAGCATCAATATGAATTCAAATTTCAGAACTTTAACAACTGCACAGCAGATCCTATAATCCAATTTATAATTACATATATATACATATACACACATATATGCGTGTTTTTGTTTTGCACATGCATGTATATACACACTCGCCCAACAAACAGAGTCGCTTACCAGGTAGCAAGCGAGAGAGAGCAATGAAGAGTGGTAGAGCGGAGATGCCAATGTTCTTCGAGTCCAGACCCAAACCCTAACTCTGTTATGTTTCTAAACCATAGTTAAGTCTTAGAGCTACCCTTCCAACGCTATTGGACGGTTCACTCCACGCACCAATACGGCGCGTAAAATGAGCACCAGTAATTTTGGGCCAAGCACCAGTAGTTTTGGGCCTCTTTTGGCAAGTGGTTTTCGCTATTGGACGGTTCACTCCACGCACGATTCAACGCTTAAAACAAGCACCAGTAAATTTTGGGCCAAGCACCAGTAATTTTGGGCCTGTTTGGCAAGTGTTTTTGTTGGTGTTTCTGCTTAGTAGTGGTTTCTAGAAATTCTGCGAAACAAAAGTTAGATAAATGGGTTGTTGCCATTTGGATACCTATTTATTACACAGTATCAAATCAAAATATTTTTGGTGCTTCCTAATGTTTTGAATCCTTAATTACAAAAATGACCAAACTTTTTCTATAAATAAAAAAAAATGAAAATTTTCACTGCAAATTCTTGTTAGGTGATTGAGTACAATTTTAGTAACACAAAAAATAATTTACTTACCATAAGAAGGACATGTAAAATGAGGGAAACCCAGGATAAAATGTAAAAAATGAAAACCCAAAATTACAGCTATGTAAGTTAATTTGAAGACATGCTTTAATATAATGATTTATTAATTCTTGTATATTATTACTTCAATTTTTATTTTTTTTTTAGCATTATTACTTCAATTGGAAGTACATCCCTTTTCAACAAAACAAATCTACCAAAAAAATGGTATTCTTTTGAGCAGCCAAAACGCTTTAGTTTCATAGTGTTACTCTATTATTCACTAAATGTTTAAAATGACAAATGCACTGCACGAGAATTCCATCATTGTGGGGGTTTAAAGTGAATCGCACACAACCTTTTCATGTCCAACTAGTTTAATTTAGTTTAGGCAGTACTTTAGCAGAACTAATTACTTTAAGCACCTTCCTCAAACAAAGGCATGAGTTTTTTTAAAATGGCAAAGGTATGATATATGGACAAAAAGGATAGGGCTTAAAAGATTATATTGGGCAAAATCAGAAAACCAATAATATGTTTGGATTTGACGATTTTACGCTTAGGACTAGTTTGGTGTGGTGGAATGAAATAAAAGAAAGTGGAATGAAATGAATTTTTTTTTTTTTTTTTTTTTTTTTTCTTATTCTCGTGTTTGGTGCCAATTTTAAAGTTGGAATCATCATTCCCCACTATTCTTTGAGAATGGTCATTCCATCAAAATCATTCCACCTTCCAACAAAATGAATAACTATTCCATTCCATTCCCACCTCCATTCTTATTCCATTCCAATTCATTCCACCACACCAAACTAGTCCTTAGAGAGTTGGACGCTCTACCTACTACGTTAAAAATTGTAATAAAACACATCATGGAGGGTTTTTACCGTGAATTTATTGATTCTATATGACTTATTATTACTTTATTTTTTACCGTGAATTTATTGATTCTATATGACTTATTACTACTTTATTTTACTTTATTCGTACATGGAGTCGAAGGGAATGGAATTTTTTAGTTTTTTACATAAAAAATGGGCATGACCCAAGATTCTATTTTATCATCAATCCAATCCCCGTTCTCTTTACTTGTATGACTTAGATGTCTTGTAATTCTTGAAAAAGTGATTCGATTGATTCTTGAAAAAGTGATTCGATTGATGAGATTTAGTATGATACTTATGAGATCGATGAGATTGGCCGCAAAGGGGCAATATTTTTTGGAAATTGGATGCAGTTACTAATTCATGATCTGGTATGTACAGAATGAAAGAGAAATTTTATGAAAGCCTTTCATTTGCTTATCTTCGATGGAAGTTTTATTTTGCCAGAATATATCCTAATTTTTGGCCATTTTTCCCAATTATTGTATGCATGGCTCTTGGGCACCTGGGATGGAATGGTGAAAATGATGGCTGCCATGAGTTTGTGCATAAAGTCACTAATTTGGATAGCATTGCTAAGGGAAGAGATACGAAAAGCCAAACGAATACCTTGCTACACAAATAGATACACTTGGATATACATACACTTACAAACATTACCCCAAATGTTGACAAATAGTTCCCAATAATTTTACACTTTGCAAATGGAATGAATGACAACATCATCAACTTTTTCCTACTCTACCATCTCCTTCAGACTCATTTCACACAGTAGGGCATGAAAGGAAGAAGTGTCTACACAAACTGAAAAATGTTTCACAGTTGATGCTAGGTAATACGCGAGCTTCTAATATTAAAAAAGAATGAAAAAAATAGCAAACTGCTCGGGGGAGGAAAGAGAGAAAGAGTTGTATGTATAACTGCATATCTAGTTTCTTTAGCATCCAGCTGCTTTCAAAAATTTGTCATAGGGACTCGAAGGTGGTAGTCTGAAAGATTGTAGTTGTGCATACTCCCGAGAACAGACAAGGAGCTGATCCGGACATCGAACTTGCTCCGTCTTTGTCAAATTTAGATTCCCTTCCAATTTTTCCTTCTCCTGAAACAAAAGCCAACGATAAACAATTCAAAAATATCCAACTTCTGATAATTTACATTCGCTGGTATACATCACAATCTTGAAAACCAAGTGTCAGAAAATAAAAACACTAATTTCATTAGCTGCCATTCATCTCAACTGTATACTGATGGGTAGGAGGCACCACTGAATGGACAACAAATAAATAGACAGCATGGAGACCATTACATAATCAGAACACTAAGTGAATTTTACTACGAGAACCCTTTATATATTTGACTAAACATCAGAAACCTCACCCAAGGTTAAAAATCACCTATCTCACTTGTCAGGCTGCATGCTTTAAACTAACAGTGGGCATACAGTTTTGCGCTCAGACATTAATCCATGCAATTAAATGGTCTTGTTTTGCCAGAAAGCGGCTGGCATTTTAACAAAATAGAGGTAAGTAATGTCATATGTGATCCAAAGGGAGGACATGAATGTTTAAAATACAGTACGGTCAATGGATATTATCAGAAACCTCAACATTTCCAATATCAATCATTTACTGTAACTTTTTGAAAGCAATGGATTAGAAGTTTAAAACTATGTTAGTAACACTCATAGAAAATTTAATTATTCTTTTCTTAAAATATTTTAATCCTAAGAAGAAGAGGGGAGGTGGGGAACTTCACCGTGTTTGGCATATAGGGGTTTTTCTTCTCATTTTCACAGGAGAGGACTATTGCTTTGGCTTCCTGACGCAGCTTGAAACTTTGAAGAACTGACATCTTTTGCTGTTTACCCGTTACAAGGGCCTCACACTGATTCTTCACTTGGTCATATGGTACGGGTGTAGAGGAAACTGGGAAGCTAGCAACGTGCCGGGCAGTTTCCAAAACCTGTTGTGATATAAACCCATGTTATACTCCAGGAATACAGCACTAATAAAGAAATACTATACTTTTCCTCAAAAGAAGTAGAGGAAAAATCACATAACATACTAACACAATCCACCAAGGACATAGTAAAATTTGCCAATCAAAAATATGAAATAACCCTTTGTTCCATTGTGATATTCTCATCTCGAAGATATCTAGCCCCTCCATCAATACTCTTGTTTGATCAAAATAAATGTTTGTTGCTTCCTCCTCAAACACACACACACTTGGCAATTTAAAATTTCCAATTGGTGTGGCACATGATTAAGGTCAAATAGGAGCATACTACTAAAATAATACAATATGTCACTAATCCTGAAATACATCTGAGGAGTATTTGGCTATTCACATAACATAAAGAAAAAACCCAAGACCTAATAATTCAGGATTTCTTGAATAAGAGTCTTAACCATCTAATCAAGTTCTGACTGCATGAAGCAAAGAGGAAACATAAAAACATAGATATCATTACATGATCTGCAAAACAAGATTCCTTACAACTAACCTGTCCATGTCTATCGGGTTTTGTTCTTTAATTAGATATCTCACTTGAAATCTAGACAAACTTAATTGTAAACTTTCAAAGACACTGATACTTATTTGTTAAGTGCTCTTGTTTTTGCTAAGAAAAGAAAAGTTGGATCTTTAAAATTTGAGTTAAAAGCGGTTGTGTCAAAAATTTAACTATTCTTGCCACCACATTATGCACTAATGAACTAAGAACAAATGAATACAGAAGCGTATCATTTATCACATAAACAACAAGGAGTTCTCCACCCAGGTAGCAAAATTTACATGAAATCAGTAACCCATCGAAATAAGATGTAAATGCATGCACGAGTGAAGATAATTTCTATCAACAATTACAGGAAAGGCTGAAAGCAGAAAAATTTTGTCCACTAAGGAACTCCTACTAAATGTGTTCCTAGATTGGCCCTTTTTGAGTAGTTTATGTTTAAATCATGTTCACAGCCATATAACCATAACAACACATTGAAATATAAGATGTAAATGCATGTACGAGTAAAGAAAATTTCTATCAACAATTACAGGAAAGGCAGAAATATTTTGTCCACTAAGGAACTCCTAGTAAATGTGTTCATAAATTGGCCCTTTTCGAGTAGTTTATGTTTATATCATGTTCACAACCGTATAACCATAACCGAATACTTTAGATACAATATTAAGTCTTGTAGTATATTCAAGCAAATGAAAACCACCAAAATTAATGAATCAAACGATCGCTTTTTGGCAGTTAGCACTCCAGGATTATTAGTTTGCATTTTCTATTTCAAATTTCAAGTGGTGGAACAAATCTTCATTATCGTATTTAATCTGAAAACAAATCTGACTCCAGAATAGGGAAAAGCATGTGACTGTAATGACTGCAGAAATAGGATCCTGCAATTTGATCTGTTCATTCTATGCAGTACATGGCTTAGATTCGACATCATCATTATTTGATATATCACAGCGACAGCTATACATTGGGGAAAAGGAGGAGAACTGCACTTACTGATTCCAACAGTTGGTTTACACTTAAAATGTCAAGTGAATTGATGGAGAGAGAAGTTTTGCGACCTGATTGACTTCCATTGGGTTCAGGGAAGGCTTCTTCATCTGTCAAGGCATCTGGAGGCATGACCTGAAAGAAAACCAAAATTGGAAACAATAATCTATCATGCACAATGGGTGCCAGAAACAAGATGCTGGGTATGTTCTCTTCCCAAAAACTACCTCATCAAAAGCCTGTGACTCCATCTTGGCAAGTGGGGAACAAGGCCGTGGTGTCTCCATGAATAAAGAAACTCCCAGGGGATAAGCATCATCAGGTGAAAATCCCTGTAAGAGTTGCTCCTTTATGCCCGATAATTCATCCTGGAAAATTTGAATATAAACGAGTTATTAAAACAAAACAATTTTATTAAACCATGCAATGAAGAAAATGGTTGGATGATTTTTATTTTTTTTATAGTTATCACAGCTAGGGGTGCCATTAGAAGATATAACCAAACAATTTATCTCTAAGAAGTTTTATGGCTTCTAACATCTACTTCCTATGTCCCAAAATACTTGTCCATTTTCCATTTTTGGCCGTCCCAACATTCGTATCCCATTTGAAAGTCAATGTAAATATTGTATACTTCCTAAAATATCCATAACTTTTGAGAACCTTCCCAAACTAATTTGGGACGGAGGAAGTTCTAATTGATTGAAGAATGCATCAAGTGGGACCAACATAATGGACAAACTTATATAAGAGGAATCTCCACATACACTGAATTTTCAAAGTTGCCAATTCAAAGCTTGAGTTAGAAACTGGGCATAAAATATGTAAATTTCCTGATGCCTAAAAGTTTCAAGCATAATTAGCAAAAACTGAAAAGCAAAACAAAGGGCTTTTTATAGAACCCAATTTCACTCAGTAGTCTATCAGCACTAAGTGGCTCATATACATCTATACTTTGTTCTATGCAAAACCTTTTTTTGATGAAAGATTGAGAACATTTTTTGACGATATGATCTCTCACAAGTCAGACTCGAATCCATATCCACAGTGAGATTTCATAACCGTCCTCTCATCAAGAAACATAATGCCCATATCTTCTAAAAAAAATTAAATAAATAAACATAATGTCCATTTTTTGGAGTTACTAAAATAATAATGCTTCCAGAAAATGATTGGATGATCACAGGACCACAATCAACCAGGAGACTGACAACATGTTATTGTTTCCTCCAGGAATATTTATTCTGATCAACTATGAGGACCGGAATCAGAACCCGATGAACTAAGAAGATAGACGATTGAGGTGGAAGCCAAAGAACAGATTCATTAAGTTACCTCTGATAGATTCCCAAATTTAGTCATGAGGTGGGATATAACAGTGTCTTTCAACTGTGTGTCACCTATTTTTATAGCTGAGAGAGACTTCAACGCTGCAGCTTCATCTTCCTGTGATCCATAGCATTTCTCCTCACTGCCGGGTCGTATACAAATAGCCTGCAGCCTGGTATCTTCAATCAACTCAAGGTAAGGATCAACCTGTCAAAAAAAAAGTGTTTTTCAATAATCAAACCATCCTATTGACAGGAGGATATTTTGAAAAATCTCAAAAAACAATATTTCTCAGCAAAATAAAATATAAACAAAATGTCTTTGATAAAAGGTACTATATCTTAAGGTAAGACAAGGAGATTAACCGTTTCATCTGGCAGAGATGATTTAATAATAGGAATCATATCTGGAAGATTGCCCACCCAGGCTGAAAATATAAGCATGCATGACGCCATGGTAAAGAGAGACCTTCTCCGAGATGGTTGTAAACCTCCTTTAATATGCATGCAATAAATTCATATTAGAAAAACTATTCAGTGAAGTGGCAAGACTTGTAAATTTCTATAATCAGATCATATCCCTTGAAAAAGATAATACTTTAATTTAAGATACGACAGATCATAACTTAGAACAAACTAAACTGGAACTGAGTTGATATGTTTGACAATCTAATGAACCCTTTATAATCAACCTCAGTCCTCATATTTAAACTCGCTTTTCTTTTGACTAAAAGACAACATTCGAGAACAGAGTAAATTAAGGCACAAAAGGTGGATCATTCCACAAATCTCTCCCTTCCTCTTTTTCTCTCTCTCTCACTCACACACACCCACACAACAAAAAAGTTAAACAGTGATAATTAAATTATAACTTACCTTCTGGGTCCAGAGAGATGCTTCTAAGAGAGAATGCCAACTGGAAACACCGAACTAGAGCTACGTGGCTAGAGTTCTGTCATGAGAAAGAAGGGCCATTATACAAGTGAATAAAGCAGTCATCATGTACAAAACATAGAGAATGTAATCTAGGACCAAAGAGAGGGAAAGACTAGTTAAACGGCAGCAAAAATTCCAAGATCTTCATACCTTATGTATTTCGAGAAGGAAATTTGATGAGAATTATTGATTAGAAATGGATTCTTTACTAAAGGAAAAACAATTACAACAGGGATGCACCTCCTTTGGAAAGATTTTAACAAGAAGAAATAATTTGCAGAGGAATAGTATTACCAATGAAATTTCTGTTTGATTGTCCCTCTTGGCTAGAGGTCAGCTTCCCAATTAGCCTACCTAGGAATCCAGAAGAAAGACATACCTCTTATATTACCAAGATAGAGAGAGATAATACTACTACTGATAAAATCCAATATCTCTCAGATGACATAAGAAACTTCCTACGGGCCAAGAATCTAGTCAGAAATCAAGTTAAACAACACTAGAAGAATCACTTTCTGCAATCAAAGAATCTCTCAGAACAGATTCCTTCACATCACCCCCAAGATTCTGCTATTTTTTGGCTTGCCTTACAAAATTACTGGTAGTAGTGAACTAAAAATTATTTCCCTACTTCCATGAAAACTCCTTCTCCATATTCAAGGATAAGGTCTGGCAATGAAAGACGAGTGTGTGGAAGCACCCTCCAAAAAAATGCAAAACCAAAAATGGCATTGGCAATGTTAGTAGGAGTTTTAAATGATGAATATTAGTTGTTTTATGTGTTTAAAAGTTGATGCGATCATGAATTTCAAGGGTGCATAAAGAGGTACGCTTTTGGGGTTCTATCAGGTAGGGAAAGACGATATTTTGGTGCTGTTCGGAGCCTGTGAACACTAGCTGACAGCACTAATTAGGGGCTGGTTGTATCTGTTGGGAACTAGAGACTAGAGTCAAATGATCCAAGGAAGGGAAGGGTAAGGCTTGTCTAATAGGATCCTTTAAGGGTGGAATCGGTGGATAGTAAATATATGTATAAAGAAGAATAGTAGGAGTACATCAGACCTAGACTTCACAGGATTCTAAAAAAAAAAATCACCAAACTTGTTTTCTGCTGAATTGTAAGAACTACATCACCACTTATAGACTTCTAATTATTTCCAACTCTAATAGAGCACAGCCTAAAAAGTTAGAAACTCATAGACCTTGACTAATTACACTCAAAAAAACCTACTAGAAACCATATATAAAAGCACAATGTCACAGACGACTGACTTAGACTAAACCATGCAAGGTGCAAAGTGGGCCATGCTTCAAATTGAAACCAATTCCAAATAAATCTATCTTTTTTCAATTGTTTTTTTCTTGAGCCTCTTGTAGGCTAAATCATTTGGTCAGCCAGATTATTAAACTGTATCTCACCACTAATCACAGATCTATCTCAGTTGAACCATAAAAAAGAAATACGCAGTTAGGAAGGTAATCATACTATAACCATAAGTATCTTCTTAAACAGAACAAAATTTCACTTCTTATTGCAGATTATAGATTGCAATGGTCTCTAAAAAGTCAGCCAAACCAACTGACAGATTCTTGTTGGGTAAAATCCTGAAGCAGTGATCTCCTTGAATAAAATTCTGTACATATTGGAACCTAACCAACAGGTGACGTGAGTACATCATAGCAGTCTCGGGAAATATTTACAACAAAATGCATCTATAATTACAAATGGCATTAATAAAAGTACTGAAATGGAAGTAAACAATCAAAAGGAGTTTAACAGGCAGTGTGACACCTTAGATCGGGTAAACAATAGAGCAATGTTATATGTATGTGCCATTGCCTCGAAATTTGCAGGGGTGTTTTCTGTGGACGTTGCCTGAACCCAGATTGATGAAATCAGAAGACTCACTTGGTGGCCACTTAATCGAAGGGAAGTCAGCTCCTGGAAAATTTCAGACAGATAAGACAGTTAATATATATTAAAAACATGAAAATACCACTTAGAAAAATTTAAATGATAGATTTCGAGGATAAGAGTTATGTCGTACTGATTGTCCATCATTCATGGCATGCTTAAAGCTATATGACTGATTCAAACCAGCACCCAAAGTTTGACACCCTTCCTCCCCCATTTTTCGATCCATGGAATTGGATTTGTCTTTGCTTTCATCTTGAATAGAGAAACTTCTACTCTTTACCTCCGGTAAAGTAACTGCTTGAATTCCTTGAAGAGCTTGTGAAGGTCTTCCATTACAGACCAGCCAAGGACAAATCAGAGAAGGCATAAGCATAACAGAGAAAATATGGTGTGCCCCAACTCGTGTTTCATGGTCTGGATGGACCATTGCTAAAAGCAACTGGTGAAATAGAGCATCAGGAAAGGCCTGAAGCAGAAAATGACATCCCAAATTTAGATGATTTTTGTTGATCTGAAAATGTAATAATGTATGATACAAACTGTTCTTGCCTTCTTGTGATAGGATACATTAGGAATGGAAGAGATAATTTGTGCAGTTCGATAAACAGCAGAGACTGTAGTTCTAGCTACAACAGCATTAGTCGGGATGTTCTCCAGCACCATGGCCATCATATCAAGAATGGGTCCCGCGTCTCCGACCTGTCAATCAAACAACCTCTACAAGGTAACAAAGTGCACCAAAAACAGTAAATACATAAATTAATAGGAAAAACTGCTGGCCAACTAGTATATTATTGTAAATAAAATTCATTAATTGATTTAGTAATTCTTTCACAAGCAAATCCACAGAAGTTTCTGGGCAGTTCCAGTTGCAGATAGAGGTGCACCAATTCAGGAGTTTCGGCTGTCAGATAACAGCCAATGCTGGCCTATTCAAAGCATCAAGAAGGATAGAGGAATGACCAAGAAAAGATATCACTGAATGAGAAAGAAATAAAGATCTAGATGGAGTACTAAATTATTTGGAGCGAGACGGCTCAACTGAGGATATTTGTGAAGGGTATAGAGAAGCTTTTAAAATCAGATGTTCCCACTGAAGATATGGCCCTCTTACATTATATCCCAGCTAGTTGTGAAAATGCATAGCTGCCAACATTGTTGATGATTATGATGTCAAGAATGAATATTATTACAAGTACTGTTGCTTTGCTAGAAAAAGGCATTTGAGAATCTTTATGAAGCTATGCCAAATTACTAACTGAAAAATCATTAGGACTTGGAGAATTGAATTAACAATGGAGATGCTTTATCTTACTACTAGACAGGTTTACAAGAACTTCATGTGTGGTACTGTCATAGAAAGAGTAAGTGTGATTGATGTTAAAATAACAAGAAAAATGAGAGTGGGAGACAAAACATGGGATGGTTTTTTTCGGAGAGATCAGTGACAGTAAACTTGAAGCAAAGCCCATGATGAGTTTACAACTTCATAATGAGATAGCAAAATGGATACTGGAATAGTGTTTCACTCAATAGGACCAATTCTACGAAGGACAAGGTGAGAAAAACACCCTAATGTTTACATTTTGGGCAAATAACACCCCTATTGTTCATGTTGTGTATATAACTCCGTTAAGTTTGAAAAAATGAGCAAAGAAGGGCTTAAGGTCACTGTTTCATTAAAAATTTAGTCATGTGCATTGCACATGACATTTTTTAGATATAAAATTCCAAAAATACCCTTATGTCTTCCGATAATGCCATTGTATACACACACACACACTGAACTGACCCAGAAAAACTGCAGTGCCCTTATATATATGTAGCAGCGACCTTGGGTCGCGATATGGAGGAGTTGGGTCCATGGTGCTCACCACATCGCTCTCCGGCGACCTGGTTGATCAGCAGGAGAAGGGCAGCGACCTTGTGTCGTTGCCGATGAGGAACAAGCGACCAGGCCACCGACAATGAAGCCAATCGCCGCGGGCAGCGACTGGTCATCACCAGCATCATGCTCGCTGCCGGCAGTGAAGATGAAGAAGAAACCCAAAAAAAAAAAAAAATTGAATGACACTTCAGTCATTTCACATTTAATTAGTTTTTTAACCTATTTTTTATTCAATAATAGAGGGACCCTTTAGTCTTTTCAGCATTCAAGTCCTTTTTTGTTCCAAAATTAAATGTTAGGAATTTTTTAGAACGTATAGGGGGGTTATATACTCTATATGCATACCATAGTAGTGTTTTTGCTCACAAAACTTCTACAAATTAATAACCTCTAATGCCCCAAAGCGTTCAGGGAAACTTTCTTGTTTTACAGAAAAGTAGATTCTAGTATCCAACACTATCAAGCTTATGCTTATAAAAGAGCCAAAAGGCTTACCGTCAGAAATTGAATTTTGAAGAGTTTAATGTATTACGACCACTGAGGCTGGAGAGGCTTGGAGAGGCGTCTCTGTTGGGGCTGGCATTAAGGACGCTTGGAGGGCTACGCCGCTTTGTATCTGGTGGTGTATTTGGCTTGAAAGAAATAGGAGATATTTTGACGGAAAAAAGAAGCCCGTTTCTATGCTTAAGTTCTCTGTTATTTCTACTCTTTTTTGTTGGGTTTCAGGGAGAGATTATAAATCTATGGAGGAAATTATTGTTTTCTTGGCCTCTCTGAAGGTCTAAGGCGCCCTTTGGCCCTTTTGTTTTCTTTTGTTTCTTTGGGCTTCGCTCCCCTTTTGAGCGTTTTTAATAAAATCTTACTTATCAAAAAAAAAAAAAAAATGTATTACAACCACTGAGCATGACATCTTGCCTAAATGCTTCAATATAAAATCCTGTGATGTTGTGGCCCGAATTTAGCTCCGGGCACTTTCAACCCAACGACCTGTTTATTGAATTTTGACCTTTTTGCTTGCTGGACGTGGACCTTATTTAGTACTCTGTTGTAGCCCGATATATAAGGGCGTTTAGGGTTTGGAGTGGGATATTGAGAGACACTGAAAATCGCATAAAAGAGAGTGAGAACGAGAGCTAGGGTTTGGGGCTAAAAGTTCTAATCTCCTTTTTTCGCATAGTTAAGACTTTCACCGGATCTTCATCGTGGTCATAGGTTTTGCTGAACCACGCTAAATCTTTGTGTTCTTTGTTTGTGTTGTGCTTACTTTTCTAGCGTGTTTCTTAGGTTCGTTGCGTGTGTCGTAACAAATCCCTTTTTTTTTTCCTTCCAGGGAAACTTATTAAGGGTTTGAGTGTTGATAAGCCTTAATATTTGGTTATCTAACATGGCCCCTAACTAAAATCATATGGATTCATATTTTGTATGCTTTCAAGTAACATCGGTACATCAATTTACTAATTAGCACCTTTGTAGCTATGGTTAAATAAAAGGACCGAAAAAAAAAAAAAAAAAAACGCAAAAGAGCAAAAGAGTAAATTTAATATATGGCCGCAATGCTCCCAACTACTGACTTGATTGGCCTTACTTTAAATTGAAAAGGCTATCAGTTCCAACTTTGAGAAGGTCCTTTAAAGGATAAAAGTGAAGAAAAATCAGTGTTCTTTTTTCTTTTCAAAATTTGGCCAATCATTGATTGCTGCCAAGTGGGTGAGTGGGAAATATAGCTAGAAGAAAATCTAGCTTATATAAAAGTGTTTTGCCATTTCCATAGACGCTTACAAATCAACTGTGCTTCTAAGGGACTGAATTTTGGGGGGGAAAAAAAGTGTATATTGATCTTTTTTGCTCCAATATTAGATGAACCTCCAAAACCAAGTTCCACTTATGGAGTTTCTGAACTTATAATTCAAAGATGAAGCTTGTAATATCTAAAAGCCAATTACAAACCTTAATTGAGAGCTGCAAGATGCATCTTTCTAGCGCTGACTGAAGATCAGCGTTCCATTTATCCAAACCATCTCTAGGACTTGACGCTTCAGTTGAATATTGTATGCCTTTGCGCAAGTGTTTCATCAGGTCAGTAATTGCACCAATGATGGCAACTGAGGCCTGCTCCTTTGCATTTTGTGCAAGTTGAGTGGTGACATTAACAATATTTATCTGTATAGCAGGCTGTTTGACAACATTCTTATGATCCAAGTGCTTGACCAAGATAGATAATAACAGATGGGAGTTTAACCCTGGTGTTGACAAAAAAAGATAAGGATACCTACTAAGTCCATGAAAAACTTATTATGGAAAACTTTATTAGAAGGAGAGAAGGAAAAAAAAAAGAAGGGAGAATTTGGGTTCCATATCTGACCTGATTCCTGCAACTGCAACTGTATATATGTCAAAATAGAACATGCAAGTCCTTTCTCCGGGGACCAATGGTTTTCAACATCAAAATTATAAAAAAGCGGTTCAAGTACACGCCGTACAGTTGTAGCTTCCTTTGCCAATCGGGCCATATTACGCAAGCATAACCCAGACCAGTAAGAGGGGTTTTTCGTTGCATCCCTATAGAAGTGGCAAAGACTCTTAAGGATATTAAGAACACGAAATATTTCCAAAAAAAAAAAAGGCAAAAAAATAAATAAATAAATAAACAAGGACATCAGATTTAAAAAATATGGGCCCTTACACTGTAGGATCCAATTCAGCTTTAGCATTGATGAGGTTTGGTATGTTAGGAACCTTCTTGCTGACATCTGGGAATGATGAACCACGAACCTCTGCTGTTACCACTCCTTCAACCCACTGGTCCTGGGTTTGAGAATACTGCTTGCCTTGTTTAGCATTTTCTGGGTTCATTTGGAGATCCACATAATTCTCCAAAGTCACTGATATAATCTATTTCATATTGAAAACGTGATTTCAAATTGACAAAAAACCCAACAATAACAAGTTTGTTAGTGTACTTCATGAACCAACTTTAAATATAAATGAGCTTTTCTCACTCTTACTACGAATCTGTCATGAGCAATAAGTATTTAAGTGATAACAGCAACAACAGGAAAAGACAACTTACATTGTCGAAGTCCATTGAGATGTGTGAGTGTTCTCCCATGAACCACACCTAGACAAAGAATACCAGGAAGAACGAAGAGGCATTAAGAGACAAGAGAATAGTACAAATTATATAATGAAATCCAAATGACCGCGAATGGGGAAAAGAGGAAAAAAGGTAATTATCAAAATATATATATACATATATATATATAACGGATTTATTTCAACTCTGAAGTAGCTGTCAATAAAGCAATGGGAAAAAATAATGATCAAAATAAACAGCTAAACCCATGGATATTAAGGTCATGATAGAGTTTACCAGCATCCCAGAATCGTCCTAATACTTCAAAATAAGGGACTAAAAATTCAAAATTGAAGAGGAACCAATTTCATAATACTCTTCCCCATCAAGGGGGAACTCCCATGCTTAACAAGTGTAGTGACTATAAGATGATTCCAGTCCGGTAATCCTCCATTGTGGAAATAAATTATGGACGGTTTGGCACTTCAGCTATGAAGCTAATTCAATAAACTGATCTTTTCAATCAGGGACTCAGGTAGATGACCTCTTTTTCTTTTCTTTTTTTTGTGTGTGTGTGTGCTGGGGTGGGGGGGCAAGCAGGGAGATGAATTCTTCCTTCAGTAGAAACTTCCAAGTTCCGTTACATGTATATGAAAGTAGACCTATACATGACAATATGAGTGCTCTCGTAACCACAGAATGAAGATTGAAGATAGAAAATAGAACTGTACCATGAAAGCCAAAACCTGCAGTCCAGCTGACCTTAAACATAAGGCTCTTTCATCATCTCCAACTTCTTGAGCCAACTGACAGAGTTTAGGAATGAGGCCTTCTAAGTTGAACATGTATGTACCATCTGTCTGTTTTTAATAGAAGTGGTCAATTTACTTTAGTACAAAAAGAAACTTATATCATTAAAGCAGACAGCATATGGCTTGTTTAATGTAATTGCAATTCTAATTTCAGCCTACTGATGGACTTGCCGTACAATTGCTAAACAAATGGCCTAATTCGGGATCAAGCATTCAGCAAGTCCCCTCTATAGTATCCCAAAATCAATAACAGGTCATCAGATCTGAAATATTCTGTATCTCAACCACTTCTAATTGTGTGTGCGCGCTTTGTTTTGCGACACTTACCTAAAAAGGAGGAGGGGGGACAATAAAGAAAAAATCTTCCATTGGAGACCACTGAATGTGTCATTCCCACCACTTAGCTCATGTATGTGTGCCACGTGTATAAAGATGCTTGCTTAAGAATGCTTATTGTATAGATCTTTTATCTTCCCATATATAGTGCTAATATGTACCTGGCTATTTATAAAATCAACTAGAGTACTGCAACTCAGAATCCGCAGCTTATCTTCTCGCGTTTGATCTAAAAGAGTCCGAACAATTCCCAATAAACTACTAGCAAAGAGTGGCCTGCAAACATTGACAGACTAGTGGATGACATAATAATTATGAATAGCTTTCAATTTCAAATTGAATAACTTAATACCAGAAGCAGAACAGGTAACAATTCGACAGCAAAAATCGTAAAGTTCTTGTTATTAGCAATCAATGAGACAAGATAGTAATGCAAGTGATGTTTTCACGCTGCATATTCATTGAATTATATAAGACATTGCAGGACTACATACACTTAATTGAATATATAGGGTATATCAACATCTGTAACTTCGGTAGAGATCCATCCCTTGGTACCTAGCCCTCGTCTATATGTAACAATGAGACATCTTCTAAGGTTTCAAATTGCAGTCATAGATGCTGTCAATGTCCAATTGCGATGACAAGGGATGTATCGAAACCATGACTTCATTTTGATTGGTTGCACAATTCCCTTTTAAATCCAAAATCTCATAAATCAAGATCTTTCATGATTTTAGTGAGTGTTAATCAAAATCTAAAGATGGTTTACATTTTAAAAAAAATAAATAATTGCAGTTTGGTTTTCCAGTCACTATCGATGAGAAATACTATCTTAAAAATCAGCACTTTTTGGGGCATTTTTTATATATTAAATTTGTTAGATTTAAACTGGACACGTCTTCTTGAAAGATTCTGAAAGAAAACTGGAAATAATAAAGAAGTTGTAATTGGGTTTGGAAATTGAATTTTATACTGGTGTGGTGACAAGAGGCTGTAGTGGATCGTAACAGCATTTACATAGCAGTACCGTGGTAGCAGGCCGTAACAGCTACAGTTCATGCGAATCCCCTTGCAATCATGGCCCTTAAAAGGGATGTGAACCCTCCAATAGTGTAAGGTATCAGCATTACACAACAGTTGAGCTAGATTTTCCGAACCAATCTTCATAGATGGGATATATATGCATATTAAATACTAAATGGTATGTTAACATAGCATATGCCTCCTTTGATATTAACCCCGATTTGTTCTCCATTCTCCGTCCACTCTACCACATTATAATCTTCTCATACTCATTTCTGCCTCGGACATTGTATCTTGCTGATTCAATAATTGTGCATATATAGCACAAACCCAATAAATTCACAGATTGTTAACAAATCACACGAACTGTATCATAGTTTTGCCAAGTTATGAACAATTGACAAGTCACGCCGAAAAAAATCTAACAAGGATGAAGTCCAAGAAACATCTTACATCCTTATGCAACAACAATGTTGGTGTATACCATGGAAAGGAATGTAAACAACATTGCATATGCCTTTTATAAGTCCAAAAAACACCCTCACTACACGCATGGTGCATGTACCAGGTTATCTCTATTTAGCTGATTATATAGAGTGAACAACGCATGCCTTTTATAAGTCCAAAAAACACCCTCACTACACGCATGGTGCACGTACCAGGTTATCTCTATTTAGCTGATTATATACAGTGAACAACGCATGATTTCAGTAATGAAGTTACATATTAAGAACAATAATAAGTGAAAGTTTTCGTTGTATGGTGGTTAAGAGTTAGCATGCATTTGTTATAAAGGACTCGGGTTATGGGTCCAATCAACCCTAAAAATAAAAACATATATTATTTATGAATAATTAAATTAAAGACTGACAAAGAGAAAAAGGGAAAAAGCTGGGAGGTTATAACTTCACATTTTTTTAATGGAGCAAATTGTTTATAGAGAAATGTTAGAACAAATTCATCCATTCGAAAAAGGCAATTTACATATACTTGGAAAAGAGAAAAAATAGAAAAGAAAAAGGAAGAAGTTATTTGAAACGAAAACTATGCAAGGAGATATATGCATTCTTAAAAAGACTTCACAACATATGATGATGATGAAAAAAATCCACAAGTGTTGTAATAGGATTCAGAACTAAATTAAATTCAAAGAATGAAACTTCAAACTTACATCTGCTCCTTACATGATGATAACAATTTCCTATAAATGCAAAGCACAACTTTTACAGAGCCAAAATGCTCATTCCTCAAATCCTTGTAAAATTTCTGCTCCAGGTAATCAGTAATCTGTAGAAGAAACAACAATGGAAGTCACTTCAAAAAAAGTCATAGGCACTTTCTCAAGGTTACAAAATTTAGAGTAACTTTTTTGGGTCCGACAGAATTTTTTAACTATCAAAAATTTGTCATTGGGTTCAAGAGATTGATATTTTCATTGCTTCAAATTCTCAATTGTTTTTGACATTTTCTTAATCAATATTTCCATTATTTTTACAAGATTTTGGAGTAAATGTTTGATTTCAACAGGGGGAAAATTTGAATTAAAAAAAAAAATCTAGAAACTAACTGACCATGAGCATAGAGTTAAGAGCACAAGGCAAGGCTTGCCTTTAAATAAATAAATAGATATTGGCTTCTCTTGTCTCTTAATGTGCCAGGAATATTGTATTAGACTATTAGGTGATAAATTTCAATTTGAAATCGTAACTAGAAAAATCTTTCCAAAAAAAATTTGATGGGTTAACTAAAGATTAACTTCAAATTTAAATGTTCCTAGCTATACAAACACAACAATGAAAAAATGTTGAATTCAGAAAGCTTGAATTTGCTTGAGTCGGGATTTCTGATAGAGCCATGAATTGACAATACAATATGAATTGAATTTTCAGAACAATAGCCTCTTAGTGAAAGGGAAGTTAGGCTGTACCTTTGGTATTCGTAATGGATTTTTCAAAGCATATTCACAAAGCTTCCCAATTTTTCGGTCATTTGGATCAGCATCCTACAAAAGGTGATTGACATTTTTTATAAGCAATATCAGAAGCCTTTAAGGGGGATATTGAAAAACAGAGCCACATGCAAAAATGATAAATTTCCTGAATACATCAATCATACAAATTCAGAGTTGATATCCGCCGATCCCGATCTATTTGAAAATAGCTAGAATTCATTTACCCATATATCGTGTTTCTGCATGCATAAGAGCTATTTCATTTATGTTCGGCGGAAGCCGCATTTTATACCATATTCCACTCAATAAATATCAATGTTATGATACAAGTCTAAGTTTTGAAAAAAAAAATGGATGCAATTTAGTCCCATCGGGTCTAAACAATCTTGTTGTTTTGAACATGAAGAGATAAAGAAGCCATTGCAATTGCCGGAAATACTATGCCTACTACAGGCACCAAAATAGAGGAAAAGTCATAGAAAGCATCTAACTAGCAAATGTGTTATTGTAGTGAATAAAATCCAAGGCTAGACTTCCAAACTGTAAATCCAACTGATGGCTACTCAATGACAAGGTATTCATTTCATCCGACTGATCATCCCAATTTAGCATAACACAAGAGTTGCAAAAGCCAAATTAATTATCTTCCAAAATAACTACAAAGCATAGTGAAACAGATTATGCCGAAAAATCACCTGAGACCGAGGGAAGATGTCAGCAAGAAGCTTCTTGTACCGTTTCACGGGCTGTCTGGACCTCGCCCGCATAGAAGGACAGAAGAAACAGAGGTTACCACAGACGGGCACCACCCGCCTGGACATAACCCCCATTTCTTAAGAATATTCAAGCGCCTCCTCCTATGGAAACCAAACCAAAATTTCAGAGCAAAATTCAACAGAACCAGATGAACAATCATTCACATAATTTTCCAAAAATCGTACATCCATGGTGATTTAAAGAACTTTTTCCAGGAGTTTCAGAATCCAAACAGAATTTACAAATTTAAGAATCTAAAAACAACATAAAATCCAAAATTTGTATCGATTTTCCATATGGTACAAATCAATAGCAATAATTAGAAGATACCCACCAATTCAAAATATGCAAATTCAACTTTTTGAAACAATCTAGCTCTTGAGATCGCGATCTGGACAAGCCAGCAAAACAAAATATGGAGACAATAAGCCCAAAAGCTTATAAAATCTTACTCCGTATAATATAGAATGAATGAATGAAAGATTATATTTTATTTTATTTATAGAACAACAATTTTATCAATTACTGTAATAATTATAGAAGGTCAGCTATTAATCTGGAAATTTCAAAATCGATTGAAATATGATTATATATATAAATATATATACACACACACACACACACACACACACATAAAAATATTCAAACCTCAGATTATAGTTATAAAGCCATGGGAGGCCGAAGCTTGAATAATGTTTCCCCTGGCGATTTTTCTCTTTCCTTTTGGAAATTAATTTAAGCCTGAATTGCTTACATTTGGAATTGTTCCATATATTAATAATATCGAAATGGTAATATATAATTATTACAACGATTATAGTAATTTTGTCATGACGGCGATAATAACGGCTCTGGGGTCACAGCCCTGCATCAAGGACACAGTGGGACCCATACGTCAAAAATGAACGGTCAAGATGGGGCTGTCATAAAAAATATATATATAGGTGTTTATTTTGAATTTTGCACGTTTCAAAACTGTATTTATATAATAAACTTTGACGTTGTTGGGGTTTTACACACAAAATACAAAAGTTACATGCGTCCAACGGTCCCGGGAATTTAGGGTGCTTTTTGTTTTTTTCATGACAAATTTACCCCTCCAATGTTCTTTTTTGACTTGTACTATTATATGATTATGCTAAACATCATGACTGTGACCGATGAGATGATAATTTTTTTGTGAATATTGTGGCAACTAAAATTAGTGTATTTTGAGAGTGATTTTGTGAATAATACATGGTAAGATTAATAGAAAAAATAGGAAAAAATTATTTATGGTGGTAAAATCTGTACCCAACGTTTTAGGGATTAACTCTCTCTCTCTCTCCAAAAAAAAATTTAATTTTCTCAATCAATTTTTATGTGTGAATAATTAAATAAATACATAATTTACTTAAAAAGCTTTTTAAAATTATATTTTGAGTCCTCTTTCTTTCAAATAAAAACTCTAATTTTTTCAATGATCTACATGTGTAAATAATTTGATAAATAAATAATTAATCTCATGTTTATTATAATTATAAAGTCGAGACTGTATAAGATAATATATACTACATGAGTGTAATAACAGTAGATAAAAAAATAAAAAATTAGAGAGAAACATAATTTTATGTTCATTCTCACTTTTTCTTCAATGGATAATTCACACAAATGCATGTGATCGTAATCATTATTCGTATTTGAATTTATCCACTTTCTTAATTTAATTATATCTTATTTATGTTAATACTTCAACAAGAATAGAAAGAAAATATAATATCTATTAAAATTGAGAACATATTCGCCTTCTAGACGAGTAGCATTGCTCATTCTTCCTCTTTTCTATACACATTTGTCATTTATTGAAAAGAAAAAGAAAAAAAAAAAGTTTAGAATCAACATGAATTCTATATATATATATATATATATATATATATATATGTTTTAAGAAACATTATATATTAGCTAGACGTGCATATTGATTTTTAGAGTCAAAATTAAACATATAATATCATTGAAATTTATCAAAAAATAATAAAGAAACATGAAAATCCAAAAACTATTAAATATCAATTTTAGTCTTGAAAAAAATATACTAGTGAAAAATTCAAGGGATGAGAATTTGCAATTTGCATCACAACCGACACATGTACACTCATGAATGTGTGTGTGTGTTGTGTGTGTGAAATTGTTGGTGTAATTACCACTGCAGCACTTATATACACAATCACCGTGGCCACCACCACCTGTACCAATTGTCATCCCAGAAGTAGCAGCTAATATTACTGTCATTGCCCATTTTCAGCTCCAGCAATATCATCACTTTGTCACTGTCCACAATTCTCTCTCATTAACAACTCCCGTGTCACCACCAATAGTCATTGCCACAACCACCACCGTCACCGTTGTCCTTCTAAAAAGTTCAATCATTAGTCTACTACTAGTTACATCATTTCACTACTGATCCAAAAATTATTGAACTCTAGTTTATAATTTTATGTGACACCAAATTTAAATCTAATTTCATAAAGTCGCATTTGCAATTGTAAGATCATCAATTCTAATAATTATAAACCCCATAAACCATTTATATTTCCATGAACCAAATGCACCCTTTTATCATAACCCAAGAAAAAAAATGTAATTCTGTAATGAATTGAGACAATCAATTTGGTTCCTAAAAAAATATATAAATATAAAGAGTTAAAATGGTTGCAGTTTTTCAATTTGAGCCCCTTTCAACTTGACATCTAATAAAATCCAAGGAGATAGTCTTAAGACTCTAACATCATGTCTAGAGGTCGAGAGTTAGAATTCCTTTAGGGTCAGAGAATTTTTTCAACAAGTACTTAATACATGTGAGACGGGGAGACTACATGTATCCAGTAATGAATTATGGGTGTTATAAGTCTGACACTACCAATGTTTTGTTAAAAGGAAGAAAATAATAAAAAGGTTGACATCTCTACTAGAGTACTAATTAAAAATTAATTAAACAAATTTCAAATGGAAAATTGAAGCAATTTGGAAAATGACATGTCTCCAATTTCACCATTTGAAGCCTGAAAAGTTAGGTAAGGTTGACAGTCCAATCCACTTCCCTTGCTTGACTAATAAAGAGGGGGTTGGCATAAGATAATATACTCTGGCTGGCTTTGTCTTTCTGTGAAAAAAGACACCACCACAATGCAGCATAGGCCCAGCCCATCTTGTCTTTTTAAGTTTATTAATTGTTAAAGTGATAAAATATCCATATATATCTATATATAATTGATTACCATGGACCAGTACTTTATTAATTGTTAACCGATGGAATGATGGCTATGGACCATTTGGTGCCACAAAGAAACTCAATTCATGTTAAAAAAAGGGAAAAAGAAACTGAATTGTGGCCTACACTGCAAGTTAAAGTTGTCATTCACCGGCACTGACTTATGAGAGGTTTTGTCCACGAAGCAACCAAGAAAATCTGGGCTACCATACAATTATGCAAACGCATGTGTTTAGTCATCAATAAATGGATTTTGTTCAAGCTATTACGAAGGGGGATATAAATTCCACGTGATGCTAATACTGTGCTAGAACACATACATCAACATACATATATATGTATTATATATACAATTGTGAATATATATATATATATATATATATATATATATATGTATATTAAAAATATAAACATGTAAATTCAAACGTGACGTCAAATGGAATCATAAGATGATATTGTATGTCCGTTCTTGAAAACTCTATACTTATTTCATTCATATTCGATATGGGACAAAATTCATAAATTAAATTTTTAAAAGAAACAAAACAAAAAGTTGACGAAGATGGCTATTGGCTTCTTTACAGTAAGCATGAGCATGATATTTTGACAATTGAATTAAAGATTCTTCCTAAAGTCAGACTCTATAATTTTAATTTGACTGTATTTATTGTTGGAAACTAGTTCTATAAATTAGTCTTTGGTGTGAATAAAACTAACAATATGAATGTGATTCTGATGTCTATGTATATCATGAGTAGCAATATCAACGTGCAAGGGCGGAGTCAAAAATTAAATTTAGGGGCACAGTGTAAAAAAAATATTTCAATAATCACGATAATAAATATAGATTTTATAAATTAAGAGAAAAAAAAAAAAAAATTACTCAAAATAATATGTCGATCAATGAGTAATTTAACATAGATTAATAGTGAACCAAAAAAATTAAAAAGGAAATAAAAATGAGAAAATTTTGAAAGGGAAAAAATTTGGAGTCTGATTCAAGAAGGAAAATTGGACTTTTTTAAAAGGAAATTAAACAAATTTAAAGAGTAAAAAAGAAAAGAAATACAAAATTTAAGAGATAATTTTTATTAAATAAAAATTTTAGAGGGGCATTATTTGAATTTTTTCATATATACATGTAAAAATATATAAATTTAATATATATATTATAATAAGCAGCACCAGGTTAGGTCAAGGGGCATGTGCCCCCTAGGCATACACCGGATCCGCCCTGTGATCGTGTATGGTCAATTACAAGTAGATATCAGTGTGCAGGTGGTGTGCATGAACTTAAATGCCTACCACAAGTGGTGTGCAGTGCAATTTAAGGTTAATTATATTTGGACTACAAAAACAGGACACAACACATCATTATGTGATTGTTAGTGTTGGTGACTATAAATTGTTGTGTGAGGAAGGTTTGTCAATTTGGGTAAGGTGATATTTTAAGTGCTGTTATAATCAACGGATGCAACTACTCCATCTTAAATGAACAAACACACCCAATGCCTAAGAGACACCTCTAAGTCTATAAATACTTAGGGTTGCCATAATTCATTAATTCGTTTCGGAGAGATTCTCGTTTAATTCTTTGCATTTTTCTTAATTTCTTCCTATGGTTCAAGCCATAGGTCAAGTGGTCCAAGCTATACTTAGACCCAAATCCAATTTCATTGAACTATATTAAAATTGGTCCGATTCATTTGGTTCGAATTGCATCAAATTTATCATTTATATAATATAGATGCATTTATATAGTACACAGAGGAGGTTCGTCGTATCCACGAGTTTGAAGTGCTGTTACTAATGGATGAAAACCGTTGTATCATGGGAGACAATCACCATGGAGTCCATTGGTACTATGCAGGGCGTAAATTGTTTTAAGGACATAATATCAAATACTAGCATCGGTCTAGGCTTTTTTCATTTAAATTGTTTTTATTTGCATGTTTAATTAAATATAGAGTTGTATATTTAGTAAATTATTTTAACATATTATTAAGTATTTCATAACATATTATTAGAAAGTTTGTTATATCTTAAATGTCATATAAACCATATATTTTTCAACAAATCTTAAAACAATTTAGTTTTTGATTTGTTTTATTTTATGTTTTTATTTAAGATATAAACAAATAGAGTTTATACTAATTAATTGAGATATAAGAAAATAATATTATAAACATTAGTATGTAAGAACATGTGAAACATTGATGGGTTTAATATTACGTGAAATTAAAGCATGTTATATATTATTATATATGCTAAATAGATATATTATTGATTTATTTATATGATTAAATATTGGTTGAATTATCTTAATTTTGTGATATGATATTGTGTTGTGTATTATATTACATAGTGGTAGTGTGAAATTGAATCATATTATTGATTTATTACTTAAATTAATCTTGTGATATAATATGAAACTATATTGTTGTGTTAGCGAGTTCAATATTGTTTGAAACTAGTGTAGTTTATTTTAATTTATAATATTGTGTTATTGAGTTGAATTAATTAGTGTATGTTTAATTCAATTATACGTTATAGTTTATTTGATGTGTATAATTATATTAATTATTTATAAGTTGATTCGTCTATGTATTTAATACAATAGACAAAATATTCGGCGGTGATTTCAAGTCACCTTCTCCCTTCTCTCTCTCTCTCTCCCTATGCCAAACCCCCTTTTCTTCTTCTCTCAAAACTAACATAGATACCAAAAATTCTCTTATCTAACTATTACACACACACACATATATATAAGCTACCCACAAATCCTAACCTAAATTCAACTAACATAATAATAATAATAATAATCCTAATATATATATATATACACACAAACATATATATATATATATATATATATATATATATATATATATATCATGACACATATGATAATTTAATTTAAATAAAATAATATATATATAACTAACACATTCCTCATAGTCTAAATCCTTCTCAACATACCTAGACCTCCTCCAACTAGTCCAAACCCATTATTTTGGGTTCTAATAATTCTAAGCGCAATCCGTACTGAGTTAAAATAAAATTAATAATTAAATAAATCAAGTAATTACACCTCAAGCAATTAAACACATATAAATAACTTAAATAAAATATTTAAATTAAACAAATAAAATAATTTAAATTAACCAATTAAATCAAATAATGCAAACAAAACAAATAATGTAATTAAATTAAACCAAATAAGCCTTTAAAGTATAGGGGTATTACATGTGTAGTGCAATTTAACGTTATAAAACCAAAACACAACGCATCATTACAAGATTGTTAGTGTTGGTCACCACAATTGTTGTGTGAGAAATGTTGTGTCAATTTGAGGAAGGTGATGTTTTAAGAGTGCTTATAGTTAACAAATGCAACTAGTTTGAATCTTTGCATCCCAAATGAACAGACATACCCAATAACCAAGAGGCACCTCTAAGTTTACAAATACCCTAGGGCTGTCATAATTCATTTACGATTTCTTTCTTCCTCTCTCATGAACCAAAATGATTCAAGCAATAGGTCAAGTGGTTCGAGCCACTTAGACCCAAATTAAATTTTACCGAGCCATATTAAAATTGGTCTGAGCCATTAGTATAACATTTATGTGACTGGGATGACGGCAAAATAGTAAAATGGTTGGATTACTTATGTAACACTTAGATAAATATGTTGCATTCTATATTTTAATGTTAGGGTAATATTACATTTCAATGTGATACAAATGTTAGTGTGTTAGTTAGGGAGGGGGGAAGATAGGGTTGGGATTAATTTGAACTAGGACTAAAGGCCCCAAACTGCAACTGCCCTACTACTGGCTATCACCGCACCCCATAAATATTGTCAAGATAAATGAGTTTTATTGGTGCATGTTTTTGTTGATATTGAATGAGTATCGTGTTACATAAAAGGATCCAATTCCTATGATAGGGACGGAGCCATGATTTTAATTCAGGAGGCAAAGTGTAAAAAAGAAAAGAAAAGAAAAGAATAATACACACTACATACATCATTCTTAAGTGCAAAAAGAAGAATCTTAATAAGTAGGAAAAAAAAGGAAGGAAAATGAGAACTTTGAAAGAAAAAAAAAATTAGAGTTTAAGTAAATAAGGAAAATTTAACATTCTTTTAAGGAAAGACTAAAATAAAAACAAAGAAAAATTTAGAAGATAATATTAGAAATTAAAAATTTGAAAGAGACATTAATTAATTTTTTTCTTATAAATGTAAAAATAAATTAAAAAATTACTATATTTTATATTGGGCGATGCCGAACCGGGAGACATGTGCCCCCGGTCACACATTGGCTCCGCCCCACCTATGCTCTCCTTTTTCAATTTTAAGAACTTGTGTGAGTTCCAACCTCATATTGATGTAATCATATCCAAATTTCCATAAAAGAAGTATAAATTTTTTTACCTATTTGTTAAATATTTTTTTAGTCTAATTAACTGCAATAATTTGATATTCTAAAAAATATTTTCAAACTTGTTAAATAAAATGAGTTAGCGCAATTGACTATCCATTATATATCAATTAAAATGAATTAAACTAGTTTTTTTAAACCTAATTAAACTTGTTAACCAAGTCGTGCTTAATTAATCATTTAAATATGCACTTAACTGCGGGACCCCAGTGGGGGTTGACAATTTAATTTGATAGTGCTAGAAAAAAACAAAGAGAAAAAAAAAAATCCAATTCTTACCGCTCTCTATTATTGGTTGTTGTAGATTTTAGTGTAGACCTCACTTACACCATAACCTAAAGACCCTAATTCCGAATCGCTTTTCATTGCCCTAACCTTAAACCCCAAAGCTTACCGCTCTCTCCTTCACCATCCATCGCACGACTGCATACCCACGAGGGGGCGCTATTTGGTTTTGTTTGTTGGTCTCCCTTGCCATCGTTTTTCTCTCTCTCTCTCGGGCGATTATCAGCTGATTTTTGTTCCTCAACTAATTTGTTATTCTATTGTGTGATATTCTATTTTCACATAAGATTTCTCTGATATACAGACTCGTATATACATATACACTCGACTATCCTCAGACTCGACCGTCTTTGGCACTCAAAATGGATGAGAAGATCGCCGCCGCGGGGAAAGAAGTAAACTTTTTTCTCTCTCACTGGTGTGTGTATATATATATATATTTATAGTTAGTGTGTAGTTCAATTCAAGTAGTTTGGATAGCAATTACAGTACTCGTTATGTGGCTCGTCTTTGAACCGTCCGCAAAACCCATGACAATTAATTTTGTTGATAATATGACATTCGCTCTAAATATCTCGAAAACAATTAACTTTGTCATGCAATGCCATTTCTTAGTTGAATTCTGTAAGTGGTGCTATGTGCCAGAAAATTAAGGAAGTACATTGATAATATGTGATTTTTATGAAAAGGAAGTACACGAGCTCTCTGTGCAAAAAGTTATATACTTTAAGATGGTCATTTTTGGACTTATGATAATAACTCTAAACTTGATGACTCAAGTGTCTCCAATAAGAAAGTCAATTTTAAACTAGATTTGAATGTTTATATGGTTTCTTTTATGTAAATTTGACATTGTGAATGCTGTTAGGTTCTTGTTGAAATTGTAAAGTTGGCCCAAAAACGGGGGATGAAGGGTAGTAAAGGAAGCTGGAAGGAATTTTTGAATTTTTATGACAAAAAGCTTGGAGCTTGCTTGAGTGATCCGGCAAGGAGGTCCACCGATTCACTGGCTGCTTTTCTGAAGACGTTTAGCCAAGAGGATGATCTGAAGGTGAACAATAACACAGAAAATAATGTATAGGAATTAATTTTTCTCAGACATGAAAGGTCAGATGCTATCAAATTATGACAATAATATTTATCTTTTCATCTGCAGTTCTTTGGTAAAGTAATGCAATGTCATTCTAACCGGGAAATAGTGGAGCAACTCAGGAAGAATTCTCCAGATACTGAATCCCCTGAGCAGGTTTGGTTTCGATGACACATTTATAGTTGATGAAGCCTCTGTCTGCAGTGTAGTGGGATCATATTTCTCTGATTTACTTAACAAAATTATGTTAAGGATTGATAGCACTTAATTAGTTTCTGTTAATTACTTGTTTATGTTTAGTTCTAATCCTTTTGATTGTTTTTCACCCTATCCATTGGTGTCCTATCAAGATTGTTATATATATATACACATGCACACACTTACATATTTATGATTTGTAAATGACACAAGATTTTTATATTTGCAACCCTGGTTTTCACCACTGCCTTCATTGAAAACAACCATATTGCTGTCAAATTCCCAAACTATTGTATTAGTAACTTAATACTTTGTTGTTTTAATTCGTAAAGTTAACTTTCTAAATTTTTTATTGCATTATTTTAGTTATTTTATTGCGTTATTTTAGTTATTATTAAATTGCTGTTGTGGCTGTACAGAGGCTGGTCCGTTCAACTCTCGAGCACCCTCAATATTCGATAGATTTCTCTTTCCCATCGCATGAGGAGGTTTGCCATCAATTTAAGTTCCTCTTTATTTTCTGTGCTATTCATTTGCATTTTAATGCAAAATCTTTCTGAATTGCCTTTTGTATGTTTTGTGCTGACTGGAATATTATATCTTTCAGACAAGGCAACATAAAATATAGTTATATACTGTGCTAGTCTATTTTAAGTTTAACCAAACACACAACTTAACATATCTCTGAATGGTCTTATTCCAATTATTTGGGCTCACCGTATTAATTTTGTATACCTTTTGACGAGTTTTCATGACTTCTTAAAATTTTCAGTCTGCCAGCCTAATTAATACCGCTTCAATTGGAAAGCCTTGTTGACGCTTTTGCACAGCCAATATAATTTTTCTTTTCTTTCTCTATGGGTTATAAATAGAACCTGTGATACATTGGAACTAGTTTCTGATCAATGAGTGATTTATATGATGAGACTTAGCTTATCTTGCCAAATTTACTAGTAATGACACATACTGTTCTGCTCCTGTCCAATCTGCCATTCTTTTTATTTTCCTGGTGAATAGGTCTTGAAGTTATCATTTTTTTTACATGCACTAGATGGGCTGTTGCTTTGGCTGGTTTTTTCACTTCACTGGGAAAATTCTTTGGTTCCTGAAGCAATAGGGATAACTGTCCTTTGAAAATTAATGTTCTCTAGTTGTGGACCATTGAAGGTTTTTGTTTGTTTGCATACTTTTTCATGTGGATGTCATCTTATATTTATTGATCTGTCTTGTCTTGTTAATGTTTTGGAATCATGGTGTAGGAATGGTTGGTTACAAAGCCCAGTAAAAAGATCAAAAAGATGAGATCAGCCGCAATGCTTGCTGTTGATTGTGAGATGGTTCTCTGTGAAGATGCCACTGAAGCTTTGGTGAGGGTGTGTGTTGTGGATCGCAATTTACAGGTATTGCTTGAGTTAGTTTTCAAAATTTTCTGCAGTCTACTTATCAAATTCCGAGGCCCCCCCCCCCCCTCCTTCACACGCGCACACAAAAACAAAAACAAAAAAAGACCTGCACTTTGAATTCATTTGAAGAAACAATATCTGTTAGATTCTGGTCTAAAGTTTATTGACATCTTTAGAGGTCCCAACTTAATTTGTTTAGTAAGTGTGTGAATCACTTATGAGTTTGGAGTATTTCAGGTCAAACTTAACGAACATGTGAACCCCAATAAAGCCGTTGCAGACTATAGAACTGATATTACTGGAGTCACCGCAAAAGATTTGAATGGATCTACTTGTTCATTGGCAGATATACAGGTACTATGTGGTTGGCTGTTAAGATATATGGGACTTGATTGTCCTTTTCTGAATCTTTCTGTTTCTTATTGTAGAAATCCATGAAGAAGCTATTATTGCATGGAACTATATTAGTTGGCCACAGTTTGAATAATGATCTGCAAGGTAAGCTAAGCTATTTGATGCAATATTAATTTCTTATTTTGTTTTTGCGAGACAGTAGAAACAAGTCTGGATCTCTGTTGAACAAGTTCATATGCATTTGACATTTGGTTGCTAGTTATGCACTGTTCGTGACTTCTTATGATGACTTGTTGCTTTGTAGTGATATCATTTTTAAATATATTTTTCCCAATTTTTCATTTACAGCACTGAAGATAGATCATGCAAGAGTGATTGACACCTCTTTAATCTTCAAATATGGGGATGAACCTAATTACAAAAGACCTTCCTTGAATAATCTGTGTAAGGCAAGTTCTTAAGTATGTATGTGGATTGTGGGCTTTGACATCCTCTTTGCTTCTCTTTCGAAAACTGTCAATTTCTACTATTTACTTCTGGCTGTTTGAATCTTTATGTGTGTTGCATGGGTTTGTGTGTGTGTGTGTGTGTTCGAGAAGCGCTGATTGTCTTGTGAAGCCTCTTTCAGAAGACTTGTGTTAAATTTCAAGATGTTTTTGAAGTTAATTACTTTGTTATCTTTCATCTGTTGTTAGTTGGACAATTCCATATCCATGTTGCTTACTCTCAATTACTAATGCGAAGAAGCTGTATCTTGTGCATAGGGCTGCAAATGAACCAAGCCGAGCCGAGCTTTGGCTTGTTCGGGCTCGGCTCGCCATGGTCAAAAGGTTGCTCAAGCTCGGCTCGGGCTCGGGCTCGGGCGAGCTTGCCTTAGCCAAGCTCGAGCTTGGCTCGCCAATGTCTGAACTAGCTTGGGCTCGGCTTGGTTCAAGCTCGTATCGCAAATAATCACGGCCATTTCGGCGACTACATCCTTCATCCTCTGATGATTCCATCAAAGTTTTTAAAAAATGGCCACCAAGAGAGAACATGGCTCTGAGAAGAGAAATTATATATGGTTCAGAGACATTCCAAAAGAAAAAGAAAAAAAAAATGGTTGAGAGTGATAACATGGCTGTGAGAAGAGAAAACATGGTTAAGATACCTTCCTTAGAGAAAAATAATAGCAGCAATCGTCGGCAGAGAAGATGCAGACATTGGATCTGTCATGGACGGAGAGGCTGTGGCGATGCGTGGCGATAATATGAGATAACAAACATTGGGTCTGCCGACATTGGGCGTACAAGAAGAGTTAGGGTGTCTTTTATGTAGATTATAACATGAATAAATGTCATCCAACGGTGTTGCTTGATATGTGTCATCCAACGGTGGTGCTAGATAAGTGAGTTAATGGGCTTATGGGCTGGTGAAATAGATTTATGACAAAGCTTATAAATAACAAACTACATGGGCCTTTAGAAAGTCAATTGTTTGGGCTATACTTTAATAGCTAATTTTTAAAAATAAGCCCTTTAACTAAACGAGCCTGTTCACGAGCTTAACGAGCCGACTTGGTATTGTTCAAGCTCTGCTCGTTTATTAAACGAGCCTGATAAATGAGCTCGGGCTCGGCTCGTTTGCTAAATGAACGAGCCCGAGCCGAGCCTTTAACGAGCCGAGCCCGAGCTGTTCATGGACAGCTCCGTTCATTTGCAGCCCTACTTGTGCATATTCTTATTAGTAATCGCGAGCAACAATTTAGATGCACAGTTAATTGTTTTATCTATTGTTTTGACAGTCTGTGTTGGGTTATGAAGTCCGGAAGAAGGGTGTTCCCCACAATTGTCTTGATGATGCATGCGCTGCAATGAAACTTGTTCTGGCCAAAATAGAGCGTGGCCTAGATCATCCTATACCATTGGTTAATGAGGGTGTAAGTTTGCAGATTCACTTATGGGTTTCTTCTGATCTTTAACCATTGTTAATTTGTCGTACCTTTGAAATTGTAGGTGCCTGAAACTGAAGTGGCAAAGTTACTTATCCACAGAATACCAATCAATGTGCCTAGTGAAGAACTGCATAAAATTATTCCTGGGGACTTTACAATTGAAATCAAGGTTGATAATATCTATATCCTATGTGTTCTTATAGCCTGCTAATTATTATATCTGCTTTGTTTTTTCCCTCATTATAAGTCACTAATGGGGCAAATGATCGTCTGTCAGTCTAATAAAAAACCCCGAGGAGAAAAGTATTATTCTGCCTTTGCCATCTTTAGGAATCTACAAGAAGCAAGTCAAGCATTTGAAGAAGTCAAAGGCAACCAAGAAAATGTATGTACCGGATGAGTATTTTTCTCTAGTTCCCTTTTCCTATCAACTGCAAATGAGTAATTGAAGTTAATTGTTCCATTCTCTTGAGTTAAAATAATAATTATGCCACAACATTGTTCACCATAGTTTAAGGTTTAAATTCTAATCCTAATCTGTTGTTTCTAGCATGCATTCTCCCTAGTTCGGGTGTTAAGTTCTCATTTTACCATACTAATGCCTCTCATATGTCAGATGTACACATGTTCATAGATGCATGCATGCCATCTTGGAGTTGTTATTTGGTACTGGAATTAATTTTTGCCGGGCTGCTTTGTTTTCAGGACTCGTATGGACGGCCACAGAAGTTTCTCTCATTTGAAGTTAGTACAGGGGTCATTAATATATATGTTCGGAAAATGGAACATGATGATCCAATTAGCCAAGTTTTATCGAGGAAGAGGACAGTCCAAGTTGAGGAGGAGACCTCAAGTGAGTCCAAGAAGTTGAAGACAGAACAGGTAAATGGAGAGCCCAAGGAGACTATGGCTGGCTCAAATGAGTGTGATGGTCATCTGGAGGAGATTAAAAGATTGAAGAAAGAACTGAAGCAGAGGGATCGTCGAATTACCAACTTAAACAAGATCTTAACTGCTCTTGCAAGGAAACAAGGGCTTTAAACATGTCCATGGATGTATGCATTGGATAGAATAGTATGACATATGATGGGATGACACATGTTTCATGAAGTTTGTGATGGCCCCTTTTTGCTGTGAGGGGTAAGTTTTGCCGGAGGGTAACCGACGGACGTGGATATGCTGCCGAGATATTAAAGGAGATGGGGACTGGGGAGTAAAGGCACGGGTGTGCGTAAGCCATCATATTGTGGAACCTCTTCTCTACCTGTGTTGGATGTGATACTACAGATGGTCCAGAGATTGTTTTTATTTTCTGTAATACCCCATCAAAGCACATCATAACTATTTGTTTTTCTTTTACAGTTGACACTTCCAACCTTATTTATTTTATTTTGGCTTTAGATTCAAAATAGCATACATTAGCATGATATGTCTTTATATAATTTTTTATGAAAATTTGGGGGCAAACTTATGTGATTAGTTGATGATGATTGTGTCCGTTACCATGAGGTAGATCCATGTGTAATCCACTTATTAACCAACATCTGATTAATTAAGGATCTCGCTTTTGTTTCGTGTTGAGTTTTATGTTGTACATAGTATATGTAAAAAATAAATAAATTAGTGTATTAGAGCGAAATAAAACACCAAAATGTAAGTTTTCTTTTGATTCTAATAGTTGTCATTTGTTATTGAAAAGAGGTCCAAATTAAAAATACCTTATTTATTTATTTATTTATTTTTGCATGGTGGCAAGCATAGGTCCAAATTAAAAATACCTTATTTATTTATTTTTGCATGGTGGCAAACATTGGTCCAAATTAAAAACACCTTTCTTATTATTATTATTTTTTTCATGGTAGTAAACATAGTACTTTATATAAAAAATAAAAATAAAAACTCTAAAAGCGGTTTTTTTAGCTAGTCACTTTGATCTTGCAACATTTTTTTATAACATGTTTTTTTTAAAAAAAAAAAATCTTTGCAATAAATTAATGAAAACAAACGATTGTGACTGATTTGTGTTCATTATTTTTTTCCCCTTAGCTAATACCAAAAAATTGGATATGTATACACAACGAAAAATATGAATGTAATAATAATACGATTCTTATTAACAAAAACATGAAGCCAACAGAAATTATTTGGTATTACATCACCAAGTCCAAATAAATTGTTACAAGTAAATTAATACATGTATCTATCGACTTCTATCGGTCGCATCTCACTTGCCAAAAATCATCGTCTAAATCAATCGTTACCCAACTGATCACACTAGAACTCCAATTTCTCGGCACCGGCGACGCTGACGCCGGCGCGTTTGACCGAATCAAACAAGGGGATCACCATTCTCCGGTGATGAATCGGCCGCAAAAGCTCTTCGCCAGTATCGATGTCGACCTCGGAGATACCCATCTCTTTGAGCCTAAACCCTAGTTTTTCACCAACTCTGGAAGCCACCCTGGCGTCCCAGAAGTTATGTGACCTCGGGAATCGGTTGAGCTTGGCTCGGTACTGCGCCGCGAATTCTTGCTCCGACGATGAGGCCATGGCCACGATGGATTCGGTCCTAGGGTTCGTCACCTGAGCGATGATTTTTCGGCAGCTTAGGACCAGTCGGAGAAGGTGGTTGTGATTTGTGGTGGCCATTTCAGAATCTAGAGAGAGAAAGGAAGAGAGAAGAAAGCGAACTCAGGGGAATGGGCATAACTGAGGGTTTTTTCTTCTAAAATGTATCACGGGTCGTCGGGTACAAACAATTGGGATAGGTTTCCTTTTGGTGAGATTATGCCCTTATTTAGTTTATTATCATTATTATTATTTTTTATTATCATTATTTATTTTTATTTTGGGAAGAAAAACTAAAATGTAATAATACAATTGGGATGGGTATTTACATTGTTGATCTGAAGAGAGACACGTTATTAATTAAAAGTTTTTGTTTGACACTTGATAGAAATAGAGAATCAAATCAATGGTCAATTGCAGTAGAAGTCACTTATTAATTTACTAGTAACAATTTATTTTAATGACTGAGTTTTGTGAATGACAATTAGCTTACATGGCAGGTGTTATACTGAATCGACTCAGCCTTGTGGCACTAAATTTGTTGACTTCCTACAAACAATTTTATTTATTTATTTATTTTTTGAAAATTTCTTATAGAATATTTTGAATTAATTACAATAACACCTCTTGAGATTTGTCATATTGACAGCTATATACAATTTAGTCCTTTTTTTGGACAAAGACATTCCCTGTGAAAATTTGGATCCAAACAAGCCCTTAAAACGTTTGAAAAGGCGAGATTACCCTTCAATGTTTAATTCATTTTTATGATAAAATATTAGAACTCATGAAAAGTCAAATTTACCCTTTTATATATACACTATTACATCAGTACCATCATATATATATATATATATATATATATAAAACCAAGTCCAACACAGCATCACAGCACCATCGCCCCCGTCCTACACCACAACAACTTCCTCCCTCTCTCCACTGCTTGATCTGTGCCTCATATTCTCTCTGTTTCTACAAAATACAAGCCTTAATTTCACACCATAGCACATATATACGTCTGTACATACATATATATACCATCCCACTGATGCTAACCCAAACCAAAGCTTGTGATCTAACCGAGATTCCAGACAACGGCGACGACCAGTGGAAGCTTCGATGAAGGCGACCATCATACCAGACAACAGTGACGGCCAGAGAAGTTCCCGACAATGACCCGATGCTGAGGCTCCGCCGCTCCGGCGAGAAGAACAATGATGGCGGTGGTGGTTCGATTAATCACAATCTGTATATTCATACACATATATATAGGAGGAAGATAGATTACATGAATTTGAGGGATATGAATTTGGGGGAAGTAGATTTGGGGAAGAAGATGGATTACTGGTTATAAACACACACATATTAATTTGCTCCTTCAATTTTAATTTGATTTATACATCTTGTTTTATAAGATAGTTTCAGTGTTAAATTAACAACTTGTCATATAAGATCAGTTCGGTGTTAATTTTATTTATACAACTTGTTTCAATTTCAATTTGATTTATACAGATAGTTTAATTAACTTACAATTTGATTTATACAGGCACATGTTTTAGTCTATATACTAATTGAAACCCATTTTGCCACGTTTCCATGTGTTGTACACACACTGCCATTTTTGGTTCTCATCCTCCATTCTTCCACACCTCTCTGTATTGCTTTTGGCATCTCTTCTTCTGTAAAAAAAATGTGTTTTTATTTCGTATTTTTAATCTCAATCTCTTATTCTGCTGCAGAAATATATACATACATTAGAAATTTATACTGATGAACCTATTTTATTTCCAATCAGAACCTCTTTTCTCTGAGAAAAGTCGAGCACCATGGTAGTGGTGGTGGTTGTAGGGGTGTGAACTGGGTGTGGTGGCTATTAGTTTGGTAGGGTTACTAGCGTATTTTAGTCAAAAAAAAGAATGGTATTAGATAAATTGGTAATTGAATGGGTCAAAGGACAATAATGTCAATTCACCATGTAAGGATCATTGGGATGTCTTTGTTAACTTTATCAAACTTAAAGGGTGTCTTTGTCCAAAAATTGGCTAAGTTGTATATGACTGTCAATATAGCAAACCTCAAAGAGTGTCATTGTAATTAATCCAAATGTTTTTGGATATTCTTGAATACAACTTTCTATTAGCATCTTTTCGCTCTAGTTAAGAATTGAGAATGGAAAAATGATTGACACAACTATCACATAATATAATCAACTAGACAGAGAGGACCGGCTTTCGACTTTCAAGTCTTTGTAATCTACACTTGTAATGAAGAACTATCAAATTGCTCTGTATTACGAGTTCTTTATGATGGTTTTAGTCTCTGCTTACGTTCTAATTCTCATCTTGGTACACAAAGAGGGTTTACAATCTGAAATATCTCTCATGTCACGTTAATTTGGATTAATTGGTTTCTACCTGTTAGAAAACAGAGAGAGAGAAATTGTATTTGTAATATATTGACATAGATTACATATAGGTCCTAGGAAAAGGTTTGAGGTAGGCAAGTGATGAACAATTATGGGGTAGGTGAGTGATGAACAACTAACCTATAAATACTAATATGGTAGGTGTAATCATATATGATAATTTGTAGTATGTAAGAAACTAAGTGATAGGTAAAGAAGTAAATTTGTAATCTAACAGTCCCTTTAAACTCAAGGTGAGTATGAACCCAACTTGAGATTGAAGGCAAGATCATGAAAGTTGATGGAATTTTGGCGGAGTGTTTTCACCTATGATGAAGATGGAGACGCGATTAACAGTTGACATGGTATGTAATGTGACACTACTGTTGGCACCGCTGTTGACTGTGTCTAACATGACAACTGACGTGACACTACTGCTAGCACCGCTGCTAGCTGTATTTGACATGGCAACTGATGTAGCAGGTGACACAATGTGTTTTGGAGGCTAATTGGGCAGCTAAATAAGGCTTTTCGCTGATTATGGACTTAAGATTGAAAGTTGGGATGCGAAAGCATAAGTTTGAAGGTTGACCGCCGGAATGGTGCTGATAATACACTATCTTCGGCGGTACCTATGATAAGTTGATGGATGATGAATTTGTGAAGATTCACCATGTTGATGGCGCTTTGGAAAATACATGATTACCACTGATGGCATGTGGTGACGGAGCTGATCTGACACGTTGAGAAGGGATTACTGCTGTTGCACGTGAAAGTGCATGGAAGAGTGTGATAACAACCTGAGGCGCTTGGTGGGGCAATGACGGACTTGATCCGACGCGTTGAGGCAGTGATCGAGTTAGTTGTTATAATGGGTATATGGAGCTGATCCAAATCTAGGTTTGAGCAAATGGGTATTCCAAATCTGGACTAGAGCTTTGCTTGTTGGCCGCCGCCGGGGATAGAACTGATAGTGTTATCCCGGGGGTGGCTCTGATACCATATTTTTTAAAAATTTTCTAGCAATGTTGCATTGGAAGTGTTCATTAGTAATATTTGAATTAACACTTCCTCTTTGATGGTGTGTTCTATAAGCCTAGTTTCTGTCTAGAGGTTTTCTTTTTCTTCTTCCATTTCCATCAGTTTTAAGAGTGCGCTTTCTATTATGTTGACATTTTATTTGTTTTGTACTAAATGTGGTTATATCTGCAAGATAGTTGGTTAGAAGTTCTAACTTTACTATATATAGTCAACAAAATTATGTCCATTTTTTTTCTTTTGCCTAATTTGTTGGTTGTAGGGTCGTCTAATGTGCTTTATGTCTGTATTTTTAGTAATATATATATATATTTTTACCCGGCAAACATTAAACATTTTATAAAAATATAATAACAATACAAGAGTCGGCCCTTGCTAAAGCAAGGTGGTGACCACACCACATACAAATTTATCAAAAGAACCATTAAGCACATTCCACAATATAACATGAAAAGGCAATTAGGCAGAGAGCTATGGCCACACGAACTAATAATAGCCCTAAAAACATAGCTTGTCCTTCACGCACAAGTGACCAAAATAGAAATGTGTGTGGACTTGTTCTATGATCAATATATCCTACAAACTTATTTTGTCTGTACTCCTTGCTGATTTAATATTATAAAAATTTATCCCCGGCTGTTGTGAGGGTAAGAAGTGATTATTTACATTTTTCACTTCGTTTAGGGAAACCAAGACCATAAGGAGGTTTTAACCAAAAAAAAAAAAAAAAAAGACCATATATGAAGGACAAAACTTGAACTTACTGTAACATTTGTTAAAGATCCAGTAATGGAACACTAGAGCACACTAGATCCATGTAATTAACGACTTCAATATGATGATGAGAACTCTGGATGTAAAACAAACACTAGAAAAGTGCTCTGGTGGTATTGATGTCACAAAGCAAAACATTCAATCTCCCGTCTAAGAACTTAGGACAAACATTATACGATCATAAGTGACATGCTCTCCAAATGAGGTTTTTCTTGGGATTACAGTAGAGGATCAATACTTGTTAATGAAGAATCAGTTTGGAATGCTTGGGTAGAGGTGAGAACTACTTGTTAAATGCATGAATATTTTCTATGTTTCATATGTGGAATGGACTCTGTGTTGCAGATGTTCCTTTCTAGAAATGGTCTTTGAAATTGAATGTTCAAAACCTCCTAATTTCTCTTTCGATTTATTAATCTTTCTACTTTTACTTATTAGAATCTATGGCATTAATTATATCACACATCACAGATTTCTGATTGAACTTGTATTTCATGCCTTTTATATTTCGTCTCATCTTGCCATGTACAAGTAAGATTGTGTTAGTATTAACGTATCTTGTCTCTCTTTCTAGTCTTGCAGCCATTCTTTTACTCTCTCTTTTGTGAGAACTGATAAAACTCTAATCTTACACATTTGTACGAACATCCTGAAGGTGCACCGTTCGGGAAGAAAATCTCATTGGAAAACTGGGATGACATAGGTACTCTCTATACACAAGATCGTGCAATTGGAGAGGGTACCGTGCTGAAACTGCTTTGGAAGCCGACATGCAAATGGCTAATGAAGAGTCCATTAATTTGGAGGAATCATCCGGAAATGATGGGTTGAATGATGATGCTACTAATGTTGTTGAAGACCGTATTGGAAGAACTTCATCATCTTCAGGTTCACAATCTAGAGAAAGAAAATAACGCAACTCAGATGCACTACATGCGGTCTTGGGACGTATGACTGACTCCCTTGAAAAAGTTTTCTCTGAACCTCCAAAGCC